GGAAACCTTGTGTCGTGGAGGAGCCGCAATCAGACCCTGGTTGCTCTGAGTACCTGTGAAGCAGAGTACATCGCTCTGAATGAGTGCGCCAGAGATCTGGTGTTTGTCAGGCAACTAGCTGACTTCTTTCGCCTACCTGTGCAGCGAGCGAAGCTCATCACAGACAACAGAGGCGCTGGGTCGGTCTCCTACAACGAGGAAGCCAAGCAGAGAACACGTCACATATTGGTGCGATATCACTTTGTGCGTGATCTGGTCCTGAAAGGACAGCTCTGCGTCCACTGGATTGCTTCGAGCGAGAATACTGCTGACATCTTCACGAAGGGCCTCGACGAGGCGCAGCACGCTCATTTGAGGATGAAGCTCCTCAACAATCCTGTGTTCGACGACGAAGGGACACCGATGGTGCCCGACGAGCCACACGACAAGGTGCTGATGGCGCCCGATCGGTCACACAGCGCAAACACAGACTCACACGCCGCTGAATGCGCCCTGTGCTGCTTTCTGCGTTATGGTTCTGTCTGCTGAATGCGGATACCTGTTTGAGAGGGGGAGATCGCTGTAATGCGACGCAAGGACAGCACAGTGCGAGAGGGGGTGTCAGAGGCTGCGTGTGTTGGGGTAGATCCCGCCGTGTAATGCCACTGCATGCTGAGAACCCTGAGCACTCCGAACTGTCCCTCCTTCTCGTGAACCGTCCCTCTGGCTCATCTGTTGCCTTAACGGGCAACGACAGCGATCCTCTACAGCCACTCTCATCTACCGACAGGATTCATAACTCGCGTCGGGGGCGCAGTGAAGCAGGAGAATGAAAGGCAAGATGAGTCAGATCTTGAATGCCATGGTGTCAGTTGCCTCGCTGGACCGAAACAGTGTTTTCTCGCATACAGCGGCATCGCTTCATCCCCCCCCTCTTCTCGGAACGATCGCTCTCTGCGAGCTTGGCGTTAAACAGCCTGGCATGAATCCATGAGGGAACGTCGATGTCTTTCATTCGCTCATAGACAGCGAGAAGCATGCTTCGTGAGCCTCTCTCACCCCCTCTCTGACGCGCTCTCTCACCCCAGTGAGGAGACCACCTCCATCGCACCCCCAATCCCCAGCACGGCGTGATCCCTTCGGTGCGAGCCTCATCCAAGATCCCGATGGCATCCAACATGGACGGGGCAGCGCCACTCGAGGCCGACATCAAGGCCGCAGCGGGCAACAACAAGCGAGCACGAGCCGAGGGCGACGGTGCCGAGCCAGCCAAGAAGGCAAAAGGAGAGCCACCAGCGGCAGCAGCTGCCTCTGCTGGCAACAGTGCTGCTGCAGCATCGGCGCCGCAGCCATCTCAGCTTAAGCGTGACGACTTCGAGCGGCTGATGTATGGCGACAACAACGGCAACAATGGCGGCGAGTCGATGGTGAAGACCAAGGGTGCGGACGAGGCGAATGTCAACGGGAGTGTGGCCGAGAGGGATCTGGAGAGCCGCGCCGACATGGATGTCGACGAGATGGAGGAGGGAGACGACGAGGGGCGGGGCATCCGGCGGCGGGAGGTCAAGGCAGTCGACCAGAGGGCCGGCAAGAAGCCTACCAGGGGCGCCAAGGACGCCACCACACCCGCCGAAATTCCGCCCTACTACCCTGACGAGGCGGAGGAGTGCGTTCAGACCTTCCTATACAAACCAAGTGAGCACCAACACAAACCGACGAAAGGCAGGCCACCAATCCATCACGGCATGTCTGTCTGTCTGTCTGTCTTGCTCTGTCTGTGTGTGTCAGATGTGCCTTTGCCGGATCTGAATCCCTACATGGGTCAGATCATCGAGGTGCGCGTGCCGGTGGACCACCTCTCCCTCAACAACCCCGCATACCAGAACCGCCAGCTGTGGGGATGCGATTACTACACGTCCGACAGCGACATCGTCTGCATGCTGCACCACGCCGGCTTCAAGCGACTGCAGGCTGACCCCTCCAAGGAAAAGATCGCCGGTTAGACAGAGGAGGGAGTCGGGGAGAGGGAAGACCGCCTCTCACATGTATGTTCCTCTATATTTGTGTGTCTGTTCAGGTGTGTCGGTGTATCTGAAGGTGACCAAGGGACGCACGACGTACTCGCAGGCCACCCGCAACGGCCTCAGATCACGCAAGTGGCCATCAGAACACTGTAGGCCGACAGCCGACACACCGAGAAAAGACACGCAGAGCGAGGGGCAGATGCATCCGTGTGTGTCTGTGGTGCAGCTCACACGTTGCGTATTGTTCGCGTTGACGATTTGTTGGACCAGCTGGGCACTGAGGAGGAAATCGAAATGATGACACTCAGGTACACACCAGACCCACCCTCCGCCCTCTCTTTGCCGCCTCCCCTCACTGTGGTGTCTGTGGGTGTCTGCAGGCTTCCATCTGCGTGCAAGTCGCGCAAGCCGAGGGTGCGCAGTTCGAATGTGCGGTATTTATCGGACATCGTCATCGCATTCAACCTCTGCAATGAGCCCTGCAGCAAGGTGGGTGCGTCAGACAGACAGACAGACAGACAGGGCAGGGCTGGCAGGCAGGCCACAGGAGGGGGAGGGATAGGCGTGATGCATTAACCCTCCATCGAGGTTCTGAAATATCGTGTGGAAAAACCCATCACCATCTTTCGACTGACCATCCACCCATCCGCCGAGGGACATGTGTGCCGTGCCTGTGCTGACCGTTCCAACATGGATGCATTCATTAAATTCTCTCGTCTGCCTGTGTCTGTGTGTGTCTGTCAGTATTCGTTGAGTGAGGTGTGCGACCGCGGGCTGGAGGTGTCGCAGTGGACGACCTACAGACTCACCAAAGAGGTACACATGGACACACACACAACACACAGCCACTCTCCCTGTCCCTCACACCCATCTCCACATACAAGTATGGTGTGTCTTTCCTCTCATCCATCCTCCCATCCATCAGGTGATGTATTTGGAGACCGAGACGGAGCGCTATGAGTTGTGTCAGGAGGGGCCGAAGAGCGCCCCACTTCCAGAGGACTTCGACGCACAGGCGGCAGCCGGAGGGCATCCTGGCGTGCCGGTCAAGATGGAGCCCAAGGAGGAGAACAAGCCGCCCCCCCACGTGTCGGCCATCAAGTTCAAGACTTACCGGTGGGCAATATCGACAGGAAGTCTTATCTATGGTTGTGCATCGTTCGTGTGTGCGTGTTAATGCTTGCAGGTGGAGTCGCGTCAAGAGCCCCCGCAGCCTCACGCGTGAGGAGATGATGATGACGACCGTGCCCCTCCCGGCAGAACGAGTAACCCACCACAACTCACTCGACACGACACACAGGCACACCACTCACGTCATCCATCCACCTCTTTCTGCAGCTGGAGCTGCTCAATCGCGGGCTCGACTGGACCGACATCGCCTTCGGCCGCGACTGCATCCAGGTCGACGGCAAGGTCTACTCGGGCCTCCTGCGGGTGCAGTTCTACCCCATCCACGAGACGGCCCAACTGCCCAAGACGCGCCCCATGCCGCCAGCAGGCCTCAACAAGGACGACCGCGGCATGTGGGTGCTGCTGCAGGCCTTGGAGGACCAGGCCATGGAGGAGGCTGCCATCACGCAGAAGAACCTGAGTGCCGGGCGGGCCAGCGGGCAGCGCAGTGGTGAGGGCATGGAGGTGCCCGTGATCAAGGAGGAGGAAGAGCTGCGACATGAGGAGATGGAGAGGGAGAAGCGAAAGAGAGCTGGTGAGTCGACAGCGAGGGGAGGAGAGCGACCTTTGCAATTTCGTGTGGTTGGCCATGGTGGTGTCTCTCTCTGGGTGTGTGTGACTGAACTGTCAGTTGGGCTGCTTGCCGCTGGGGCTGGAGATGACCCCATGAATGGACCATAAGCTTATGATGAAGATGGACCGGACGGTCTGTTTTCTAGAGAGAGGTGCTGGTGCTGCTTGCGTGGAGAGAGAGAGAGGGAGAGACAGAAAACTGTGAGAGCAGCAGAGAGCTGCACCCGTGCCTACGTGGCTGACTTTTCAACACATAACACGCGAACGCTGGTAACCTTTCGGCACAAGCAGGGGCTTGGCTTCGTAGCAGGGTTTCAAGAGAAGGGTTCCAAACCCTTGTCCATGACCTTCGCAAGAGAAAACAGAAAATTGAGGAGGAAGGGCGTGAGTGGATGCATCATGGAGGGCAGAGCCTTGGGCAAAGCTTGGCCGTCCGCCTGTGTGCTGCAGACCTGGCTCTCTTCGACGGATACCGATGGACCACACGCCTCAGCCCAAGGACCCACGCCCCATCTCGTAAGGACAATGCAATGCACATAGGTTGACACATCTGTCCCTCTCTCTATTGCCGTTTCTTCCCTGCAGTGGTGAGGGCTGAGGCAGCGATAGGCCGCTTTATTATTCAGGAGGCCTATCAGCTGGCGCTGCCCAAAGGCTTTGTCGTCCTCCATCGCAACAGCAGCCCGCTCAATGCATGCCTCTCGAACCTGGAAATCGGCACACTTCAGCTCATGGCGACTTACGCCCTGCTCGACAGACGGAAGAGCTCAAGGCGAGACCACCAGGCCGAGTTCTTCCGCATCCAATCTGAGCTCAACACGCTGCTCGAAGCGGCCGGCTGGGGCAGCTACGTCAGGCAGCATCCTCTCTATCCCTCTGCTGCCGACGGTCGCCCTCATTGTTTCATGCCCCACCGCTATCATGGGTTCAGCCGTCATGGATGGCCGCCGTGGCCCATCTGTGTGAGTCCGCAGCATGCATGGGTGGAGAAGTGGGTGTCGTGGTGCCTCAAGAACGAGGAGGGGCGGTTCAGGGTGAAGGGGGACCTCAGCCTCAGTCGCATGATCATGCAGCGGATGATCGATGGGCCTATTCCAAAGTGCATTTCCATCGGCGGGAGGGAGGAGAAGATCGTGGTTGATCACATTAACGGTGACCCTCTGGACAACAGACGCAGCAACCTGCGGCTTGCGACATCGCAGCTCAACTCTCTCTATGCAAGACGGCCACCTGCAGGGAAAAGACGGCCGTCTGGGGGTGGCCGTCTTGCAGACCCGAGGGACGATCAAGGCAGAGCGATTGGTGGTGGAGCCGAAGGGATCGCCCGGCCGGTGTACGCCGTCGTGGACACAGCAGAAGACCACCACACTCATGACAGCTGCAATGATAACAATGACGGTGCTGCCCTGTCTTGCCGTGATGTGGATGGCTCTCTGCCAGTGGGCATCCGCTACTCCGAAGAGCGGGAGAAGAAATACTGCGCCGCCCTGACAATCAAGGGCAGAAGAGTTCTCAATCGGTGCTACCCCTCTTACGAGCTCGCGGAAGCTGCTCTCAGGCAGGTCAAGAGCGCGGCTATTGGGCGACTGGAGGAGCGTTTCAGGCGTGCGCTGGTGGAGGCTGGGTGGGGGCATCTTGTGCAGTGGACTTATGCTGATCGAGAAGGGAATGGGAAATGTTGATGTGTTGATGTGGATGTGGGCGCTTGTGTAGATAGATGAACAAACTGAATGCGCTCTTGTGTGTGAGTGTGAGAGTGTGTGTGGCATGAGGGAAGGGATTCGGTGATCGGATCAACAAAGCTAACAAATGATAGCCTTACAGAGCCAGCCCACAGACATCGGCCAATCCGTCTCCATCGACACACCCACCACACCCACCCACGCAACAGCCGATAGACAAAAATCTCCCCCAACCCACCCGAGACAAACATTCGAAAGAGGCAAGACACATACATACACCAGGCAGACGCCCATCCATCATTTAGATCATTGAGTTGACGGCACGTAGTAGTTGAATGTGTCGCGTTCGGGGTTAGATCGCTGCGCGTTCGCACGTGACGTCTCGTTGTACTTGTTGGCCAGCCTCGCCTTCTCCTCAAGGTCTTCATCGAACAGCCACATCCGGGCCATCCACAACCGATCTGACACGCCCTGGCTCATGTAAAGAACACCTGACACACACACCACACCAGCACATTGCACCACATGGCAGGTGAGAGAAGGGTGCCATGCATCCGTGCGTGGCTGTGCGTGCGTTGTTCTTGTCTCCTCTCACCGTCGCGAACGAGCGAGGGGAATTCGAGCCAGAAGGCGACGTTTGGGATCATGTCGATGCCTCTCGCGTTGTGCCGCTCCTGCTTGAGGTAGATGCCGATCGACACGTACAAGGCGGCAGCAACCAACACACATATCAGCAAAAAGGTCGCCTGCACACACACACACACACACATCCACAACACACACACAATCTCATCCCGCTCCCTGCTTCATTGTGTCTGACTGTCTTGCTGACCGGTCCCAGCCGCCTCCTGCCCGAGTGCGGTGTGACGTGGTGGTGGCTGTGATGCCCGTGGTGCTCGCCATGGTGCCGGAAGTACCCATGAGACGGGTGCATGGCGTGGTGGTGGTGATAGGGGTGGTGCGACTCCCCAGTGGCGATGTACGACTCCTCCCCTGGCGCCACGCCATGGACCATGTGGAGGTTGGGGTGGTGCCCATGGTGGGGCTGATGCTGATGGTGGGCATGCTGGTCGCCCTCCAGATGAGCCACAGCCATGTGCGGGGACCCCTCGTGGTGGGCGTGATGGCCTTCTTCGAGTCTTCTCTCTATGTGGTGGTGCTGCGGCATGGTGTGGGGATGGTGTGGGTGGTGGGGGCCGTGGGGGTGCTGGTTGACGTTGTAAGCGTAGTAGAAGGGCTGCTGGGTGGTGGGCTGATAGCTGAGGATGGTCTGATAATCGGCGTCAGTCAGCTGATGGCCGGGAAGGAAGATCAGCGGACACCTGAACCACACACACACACAGATCTCTGTGTGTATGTGGTGGTATATGTTTGATCTCACCCGGCAGGTCCCCTCAGTTCGAATGTGTAGTGTGCCGATCCTCGACCATCCACTGCGTCGAAGAGGCCCTCAGGCCGCGAGGGGTCACACTTGAAGTGAATCGACACTCGGTGGTGTTCGCTGGTGTGCTGGTAGGGATCGCCATCGAAGTACGTCTGAACGAGTACCGACACATATGGACGTACAGAATGGGCGTTGCCGTGGATGGACACTTTTCTGTGGTTGATTAACTGACTGACTGACTGACTGACCAGTTCCAGCCCTCTGGTGGCCATGTAGTGGTCGATTGGCCGCAGATCCATGTGCCCGACATGCCCCAGCAGCCGGCAACCTGCACACACAGATGGATGAATGGAATGGACAATACACTCACTCCACACACTCGACACACTCTGCGGCCGACTGCCTCTTCCTTCCATCTCACCGACCGTGAAATCCGGCAGTGTTGGTCTTGGACTCCATCGCTGGTGTGGCCATGCCGTCACACGCCTCATTGAGGTCACGGAACACAGCAAAGCGGTAGCAAAAGGTCTCAGTGGCGTTGCCGGCCATGCACCGCTCGAACTCCCCGGCCCTCTCGACGCCACACAGATTCCCTGCAGGCACCAACACAACAGAAACACACACTCGCCTGGCGTCGTCTGCTTGTCCCTCCCTCCCTCTATCCCTGTCTACAAACTTACACGTGTAGTGGTTGAATGGCGACGACCATTCCACGATGCATGGGTGCTTGCCGTTCCTCACAGCCGGTGCCTCGAGCTTCTTCAGGTAGGCCTCGTGCTCGGGGATGCCGTGTTGGAGGTAGTGGGGCTGCTGGCTGTCGTGGTGATGCTCACTCGTGTGCCACGATGAGAGATCACCCGCTTCGTTCGCCAGAGATGCGACGGACGCGATGGCGACCAACGTCAGGCCTAGAAGAGCCTTCATCTTCTGCATTTAACACCCTCGTGCGATGCGACCTCAAGGCGAGCTTGAAGTCGATTCATTCTTCCACACCTGATGCAGCGTGCTGCGCAGATGCCAGTGAAAGTGCCGTAGAGAGGAGACTGCAAACCGTCCGCACAATGAGTGGTGATCTTTGCCGACGCCAGGAGGAGCGCCGCAACTGACGGTGGAGGCGGCGCGACCTGCCTGCCTATCCATCCATTTCCATCAGCACACATCCATCCATCAGCTGCTGTTGTTGCGAGTGCGTGAGTGAGTGCGTGTGGTGATGGCGCCCGAGCGAGGAGCGGAGCCCAAGGGTCGGCTGGAGGAGCTGGTCTTCTGCAACTTCAAGAGCTATGAGGGCGAGCGCCGCTTCGGACCCTTCAGACGATTCACAGGCGTCATCGGACCCAATGGATCAGGTACTCACGTCACGTGAGCACACACCTGCACGGCTGATGGATGGATTGATGTGGCTGCAATGTGTGTGTGTGTGTTGCGGTGTGTTGTGTGTGGTGTGTGTTGTTGTGTTTGGGTGCACTGCAGGCAAGTCCAACGTGATGGACGGCATATCGTTTGCGTTGGGGGTGCAGTCCCGTCACCTGCGGGGCAGCAAGCTCGAGGACATGGTCTTCAGACGCGAGGAGGAGGAGGACATCGCAGCGCTCAAACGATCGTACGCCTAATGTGTTGGGTGTGTTGGATGTGTTGGATGTGGCTATGTGTGTGTGTGGGTGCGTGGCTGGTTTGGATTGATTGCAGTGGTTGGGTGAAGCTTCGTTTCCGCACCGCGGGCGACGAGATGGTGGAGTTCCAGCGACAGGTCAAATACGACGGCACTTCCAAATACCTCATCAACGGACACGTACTCAACCACTCAAGCCACGGCCGGAAACAACGCAGACGAAGCACAGACAGACGAGTGGTGTGTGTGTGTGTGTGTGTGAGTGTGTGTAGGTGACGAAGCGGGAGGACTACGAGTCGCGTTTGGGGTCCTACAACATACTGGTCAAGATCAAAAACTTCCTCGTCTTCCAGGTGGGTGGGTTGGTCAGAGGTGGCCGCACAGCACACACTCCTGCACCGCACCCTGCTCTCTCTCTCTCTCTCTGTGTGTGTGTGTGTGTAGGGTGACGTTGAGCGTGCGGCCCAGCGGTCGCCCGAGGAGCTGTCGCGGGAGATCGACGAGCTGTCCGGATCGTAAGCCGTACCACACACACAACACACAATACTGCGCCCATCCATGTGTGTACTTCATGTGTGTGTGTGTGTGTGTGTGTGCAGTGGTGCGTTTCGCGAGGAGTATGAGGACCTGAAGAGGCAAAGACAGCTCGACCAAAACAGACTCACGTACGCAGCTGTGCACCACACACACCCTAAGCAGACAGACAGACAGACAGACGGACAGACGTGTGTTAGTGGGCACCCATCTCTCTCTGTGTGTGTGTGTGTATAGTATTCTGTTCAAGCAGCGTCAGGCGATGCACAAGGAGGAGAAGCTGCTGAGGCAGATGAAGAACGAAGCAGAGGAGTGGAAAAAGAAACAAGAGCAACAGGCGCGCTGGCGGGCCGACACACCCACCACCGCCACCACCACCACCACCACGCCACCACGGATCCCCCTGCCTGTGTTCTGTGTGTGTGTCAGTATGCCAAGAAGGGCCAGAAGCAGCTGTTCCGTCTGCTGTGCATCGACAGCAACCTGCAGAAGCTCTGTGAGAAGATCGAGGGCAAAGATGACAGCCCCGGACTCCAGTAAGCCAACACAAACACACACACACACACACAGACAAAATGGGCATCCCATCCACGTGTGTGTATGCGTGCGTGCATTCTGTGTGTCAGGTCTCGTCTCGAGGAGGCGCAAACCACCATGGAGGAGGCCGCCGCACAAGTCAAAGAGGTGAAGAAGTACCAACCCTCCCCCGCCCCCCCCCTCCCCCCCGATGGATGCACTCGTGTGTGTGCCTGTGTGTTGTGGTCGTCAGTTGGAGAAGAGCAAGGCCGCGCTGCACATCGAGGCCACCAAGGCGGCCAAGGCCGTCACACGCATCAGAAACGAACTCAAAGACATCGTACCGTACACGCGCGTGTCCATCCGATGCATGCTGTCTGTCCATGTGTGTGTGTGTGTGTGTGTGTAGGCATCTGAGCTGACGCCCACTCAGCAGCGTCTGGAGTTTGCCGAGAAGCAGAAGGTGGAGCTGGAGGCCAAACTCAAGAAGGAAGCCGAGAAGAGCGAGTCGCTCGAGAAGCGCATACAAAAGGTCCGCGACCCCCACCCCCACCCCACACCCTCACACGCGCGCGCACAAGGAGACGGCACACTGATGCGTGTGTGTTTGTTCAGTTGGAGGAGCTGATCAAGGAGTCCGAGGAGAGGTTGGCAGCGATCCGGCAGCAGGAGCCGCGCGACCTCGACATGACCCGAGAGCAGGAGGACGTACGCACACACTCCAACAACAATCAACTCGCCACACCACACCGCTCCTCTCTACATGTCTCTGTGTGTGTCTGGTGTGCGTGTATGTGTGTGTTTAGGAGTATGAGCGCATCAAGGAGATTGCAGAGCGGGAGACGGCACCAGCGGTGAGAAGGACAAAGGGAAAGGAAGAGAGAGAGGAACACGGCACGTGCGTGTGCGTTCTATGAATCAGCGTCAGTCCCGTTCGCACCACCAGAAGGACCTGTCGGAGCTCAAATCAAAGATCAACGCGGTATACACCGTTGGGTGAAGTGCCTTGCCCGCACGCACTCCTGCACACACATGTGCACCTGCGCGTCTGTATGCGACTTTGCAGGTGGAGACGGACATCCAGGACGGCGAGAGCAAGCTGAAGCGGGTCAGCTGACCCAACCCACGCTATGCGCCACAAAGGTGTGCCTTGTGTGTGTGTGTGTGTGTGGCGTGTGTTCAGCTGGAGGGCGAGTTGGAGAAGGCGCTCGAGGAGAAGAGCAACACCGAGCAACACATACAGCAGAGAACGGTCGGTCAGGCACCACAGCAACACCATCCACACACACACACACGTGTCCTCCCTGATGTGTGTGTGTGTGTGTGTGTGTGTGCAGACTGACCTGGACACCGCGCGGAACGAGCTGCAGGACAAGAGCAACACATTCGACGTACGCCAGCCATCCCCCGACCACTACTACACACCCCACCCTGTGCACACACCCATCGTGCCTGTTGGTGTGTGTGTGTGTGTGTGTCGTGTCATCAGACGGCCTTGAAGCGCAAGGGCGAGCTCGAGCAGCGCATCCAAGCACTCAATGACAAGAAAATGAGCTGCTCTGCCAGCAAGGTAGCCCACCTTAGCCCCTGCCGACACACAACACACCCACACACACACCCACACACACACACTCGCACGCGCGTCTGTGTGTGTGAATGGTTCGCCCGTCGATCAGCGCATGATAGAGAAGGAGCGCGAGCAGCAGCGCCTGATAGCTGAGATGAAGGAGCACGTGCCGGGAGTGCACGACAAGCTCTTTAACCTCCAGAGCTGCCCACAGCACAAGCTCAGGGTGGCTGTGGCGGCCGCCCTCGGCAAGTGGGCCGACCACGTCGTTGTCAATGACTATGAGACCGCAAAGGTGCGTCCGCCCTGGAAGGAAACATCGCAAAAGGCCGTACGCTCCCTCTCTGTCTGTGCACGTGTGTTGTGTGGATGGTGCGTTTGTGTGTGTCAGCGTGCGATTGAGTTTCTCAAGAAGAAGCCGAAAGCTGGTCAGATGGACTTCCTGCCCCTCAACACCAAGACCAAAAAGACCGACCCACGGTCGCTACACCACACACACAAGACACACACAACACATGGATGTGTGTTGGTTGTTCTCGTCTCGTCAGTCTGCGTGACTTTGGCTCGAAGTGTCGCGCGGCGATCGACTGCATCCAAGTCAAGGACGAGGCGTACCGAGGCATCTTCGAGGCAAGACACCAAAGGCACACCCAGGCACACACACACACACACACACACAACTACATATATGTGTGTGTGTGTGTGTGCAGAAAGCGTTGGGCGACACGGTCATCACGGACGACCTCGAGGAGGGCAGACGGATCGCATTCCAGTAACCTCCCCCACTTACACACACACGCACACACAGATGATGGGCGCTTGCCATGCATCTGTGTATGTGTGTGTGTGTGTGTGTGTGTGTGCATGGATCAGGGTGTGTCCAGCTCAGAACCTGCGTGTGCGTGTGGTGACCCACCGGGCGGAGATCATCAAGAAGAACGGAAACATGTCCGTCGACAGCTCGGTCAGCCCGCACCCCCCCACCCAAGCCCCCCACCCACACCACACACAATGGATGGCTTCTCTCCAATGTTGAGTGTGCGTGCAGGCCGGCGAGGGTGGCGGTCGCTTTGAGGCGTCTGAGCTGGAGGTACTGAAGTAACAAGACCACACACCGAACGCGCTCAACGCCGCACCGAGCAACGCGCTCTCCATCGTGTGCAGGCCATCGAAACTGAGTTGGAGGCCCTCACCAAGGAGTACGGCGACATCGCACACATAGAGGTGAGTGGGCAACACGAAGATGGTGCAAACGGCCACGTGTGAGATGCGTGTGCTGTGTTGTGCGTGTGGTGCAGTTGACAGGTTCTGGCGAGCGTGAGGCCCTCGAGCGCAAGATACGGCAGCTCGAGACCATCATCCAGACACAATCCACTCGGCTCGACGTGCGTTGACCCTCACACCCCGCCCCCCAACACCCACACACATGTGCCCATCTCCCTCTCTCTCTCTGTGTGTGTGTGTGTCTGCGGTGTGTGCAATCAGCAACTGGGTGTGTCGATCAAGGGCAAGGAGCGGGACCGCAGCAAGACCACCGACATCGTCAAGAACGACAAAGCCAAGCTCGACCAGCTCAACAAACAGAGGGAGGAGTGCGAGGCCAAGATAGAACAGGTAGGTCGCCACCCACCATACGCGACACACGACTGCGTGATAATCCGCACAAGTGTGTTTGTGTGTGTGTGTGTCTGCCGGTTTGTGCAGTTGTCTAACGAGATTCTGGAGTCCGAGAAGGGTCACTTCGCCGAGCTCTCGGCAGCACTCGGGGTGGACGACGTCAGAAAGGTAGACATCCAAACCTCACCCAGCAAATACGTTGATGCGCGTGTGTATCCGTTCGTTCGTTGTATGTGCTGTGCAGCTGGACGACGACATCCGGAAGGAGAAGAAGCGCCGCGAAGAGGACGAGTCCAAACTCCAAAGACAAATCGCAAAGAACAAGTAGCCATCCCCCACATACCACTCCCTCTCCCTTTCCCCCTCCCCCACCCCCACAAACACACCTGCGCTCTCTCTCTCTCTCTGTCTCTCTCTCTCTCTCTCTCCGTCCGTGTCTGTGTGTTGATCAGGACCGATTTGGCCAACTGCCAGCGCACCCGTCAGACGGTGGGCGACCCTGCGAAGCTGCAGGCGAGTGTGGACAAGGTCGAGTCGGACATGATAGCGCTCAAGGAGAAGGAGGGCAAGCTCAAGAAGGACAAGATGGACAAGGAGGGGAGGCTCAAGGACAAGGAGAAACAGGCCAAGGAGAAGAAAGACGCGCAGGACAAGCACGACAAGGATATCAAAAAGTGAGTGAGCTCTGCGAATGAATGGGGATAACGGGGGGGGAAGGTCGGTGACTGAATATCTCCCTCGGCCTCCCTCTCCGTCTGTCTGTCTCTCTGTCTGTCTGTGTGTGTAGGCATCGTGAGACCCTCCGTGTCAAGCAGAAGGCCAAGACAGAACTCGAGAACGAACTCGCCAGTGCGGTGAGACGAGACAGACCTACGCGCCCCCCACCGACCCCCACACACACACACGCCATTGCCTCTGTCTGTCTTTCTTTCTTTCTTTCTTTCTGTCTGTCTCTCTGGTGTCTGTGTGTGCAGCGGAAGCGCATCAACCAGTGCTATGTAGAGATGGTGGACATCATCCGGCAGTGCCTCATGGAGCAGGTCAAGATACCACTCACAGTCGGATCCATGGACGCATTCAGGTCAGCACCCACCCTACCTCATCGCCTCCTCCTCACTCCACACACCATCTGTCTGTCATGATGGCTGCAGGCCTCTGTTGGACGAGGTAGAGGTGCTTGACCGCGTTGCCGGGGCCGCCACCCCCTCCCAGACGCCGTCGCTCACCCTCAACGACTCGCACGACGCTCCGGAGGGCTTCGACGCGCTCCAGAAGAAGTTCATGGAGTGCTGCAAGAACCTCTCGGGGGAGGGGGGCGGCTTCGACTACAACAACCTCGGCGATGAAGTATATGCCGCTGCGGTGAGCATGGAGGGGGAGAGGTCGGCGCATCGACCATCCCTCCATCTCTCTCTGTGTGTGTGTGTGTGGGTGGGCGGTGGTAGGGCAAGGGTGCCGATGCGATTCAGCAGCAGCTGGATGAGTACGACAAGGAGATCGAGGCCATCCAGGCTGAGCTTGACAAGACCAAGCCCAACATGAAGGCCGAGGAGAAACACGACGAGGCCATGCAGCAACTCAAGGTCAGTCAGTCGGGGCAAACAACCAGCCACTGGGCCTTACACACACCCTTTGGTGTGCCTATGTGTCTGCAGAAGCTGGAGAAGGAGTACAACAAGGCGCAGAGGGACATGAGAGGTGCGGTGCAGTCTCCACGACAGAGACACACAGAGATGTGCACACACACATGAATAGATGTCCTTCTCTCTCTGTGTGCTTGTCTGTCTGTCTGTCTGTGGTGTGTGTCTGTCCATCCCGTCAGCGACTGACCAGGAGTGCAAGGCCCTGCGCAAGAAGCGCCACGACCTCTTCCGCAAATGCTTCAACAAAATCAAACAGGAAATCAAAATGTAGAGAGCGCCATACACCCATACCACCCACACCACACACCACACACACTCTCTCTCTGTGTGTGGTCAGCATCTACCCCGAGGTCACCAAGTTCGATGACAACGACGTGGGCGGCAACGCCTTCCTCGACCTCGAGGACGAATCCAACGAAGAAGTCTTCAACGTGTACGCCTCACCCCCACAGACGCAAAGGCCCACACGCACGCACACACACACCCCACATGAGCATAGCACGTGCGTGCTCTTTGTCAGGCCGGTCAAGTACCATGCCATGCCGCCTGCCAAGCGCTTCAGAGACATGTCCCAGGTGGGTGGGTCCACCTATGGGCAGACAGGCATACGGGAACCCCACACGGATGTGTGTGTGTGTGATATGGTCACTCAGTTGAGTGGTGGCGAGAAGACCATGGCGGCTTTGGCGCTGCTGTTCGCCATCCAGCGCTTCAGACCCGCGCCATTCGTAGTCCTAGACGAGGTCGATGCCGCACTCGGTAACTACGCACACAAATGCGCCCATGCCATCCCGCGCACTCATCGAGACGGACCGCTGTTTGTGTTGTGGTGTTTGTCTTCTTCTGTCAGATCCGCGCAACGTGTCGTCGCTCGCCCGCTACCTCCGCAAAGCCCGGTTCCAGTGCATCGTCATCTCACTCAAAGACAAGTACACCCACAACACAACACACCCAACTGGCACACCCACGCACACGCCCATCCACTCTGTGTGTGTGTGTGTGTGAGTGTGTCAGGTTGTTTCGCGAGGCCGACAGTCTGGTGGGCATCCACAAGGACCCCGAGGAGCAGACCTCCGACACCCTCACACTCGACCTCACCGAATTCGACGCGCCGGCCGAGCGCAAACGCCGCAAGCAGGAGCAGCAGGGCTCACAACGAGACGACGACCAAGATGACCAAGATGACCAAGATGACGACCAGGAGCCCGACCAAGACGACGAGCATGACGACCCACCATCACCAGCAGCACCAGCAGCAGCAGCGGCCGCCATCGGCAATGGAGATGACGCACAGATGATGAATGGCGTGGCGGGGCACGACCACGGCCATGATGGCGAGGAGCAGAACGGTGTGGACGGCCATGACATGGAGGTGGACATGGTCAACGGGCAGCAGCAGCAGCAGCAGCCTGAGGAGGACGAGAACATGGGCGGCGAGGGAGGCGGTGGCGGTGAGGGTGACGTGGACATGAACGGTGTGGCGGAGGAGGGCGATGGTGAGCAGATGCAAGATGATGACGACAACTGACCCTACCCACACAACCACTCGTCCACACACACACACACATACTCACTGGGTGGGAGAGAGGGGAGGGTATCGCAGCGAGCCAGACGGCCATGTGGTTCCATAGTGGGGAGGGAGATCGGTTGGTGGGGTACTGGCTAACTCAGACACACACAAAGACAGACAGACAGACAGACAATCACGTAGGCAGACCGGCAGACAAGCGGCTACTGTATTAGATGTACACCTACGCACTCACTCTCTTACTGACTCATTGATTGGTTAAGGTGTCCTTCCTCTCCCTCTCTCTCTCCCTCTCTTGTGCAGGTGGCTAGCCCCGGCTATGCCATGCCATGCCATGACCTTCCTCCCTCTTCCTCCTCTCTGACCGATCGCCCTGTCTGTCGACCGACCTGTCCGGCTCTGCAGCTGCGTTTTTGACATGCGTCAGTGTCCTTCTCTGTTGATTCTCGGTTGCTGGCTGGAGATGGTTTGATGCATGCGAGGACAAGCCGCATGTGTCGAGCCATCCACAGCAGGCGCCCTGGCATCAGCAGCGAGGGAGGGAAGGACGAAAGAGCAGTCGTGACGACCGACTATCTACCCCTTATTTGTGAATACATGCAGACAGACAGACGGACGGCCTTGACTGACATGGGATGGGTGGTGTGCGCGTCGGTTTTTCTCCCCTGATCGACTGACTGGTCGCGTCACTGCCGACAGCATGCGAAGGTAACAGGCGTGGTGTGCTGCATTGTGTTGTGGTGCTGCTGTCGTGTCCATCAGGCGAGAAAGACAGGCGCGTGCGCCTACCTACCCAGACACGCACGTGGATATGATGTACTTGGTGGAATGTGAGCTGTGGGACTATCCACCTGTCTATCGCTCGCTTCGCTTGATGTGCATCCTATCCTGTGGCCGCCAGACGCAGCACATGTTGGTTGAATGAATCCGTTGATGACTGTGTGGACCCCTGTCCGTCCATCCATCCATCCACTGTCGTCCCAACAAACATCTTGTTGTGTGTGAGAGTCTCGAACGAATGGGTTGTGTGATACTTGATGACGCCATGCACGCACAGGGTCGGTCCCATGCACAAATTTCATGAATGTGGTGTTCGCGCATCTCATACAGCTGTACAGCACATGCATGGCGTCAGCTCAGAATCGCTGCACTGCCTGTCGTCTGCTACGAGTGATCCACCAACACAGCCAGCCTGGCAGACAAGCATCCCAGACATTCACGAAGAGCAGACAGTCAAGGCCTGTGAGTCAGAATGATTGGCGATTCTCTCACCTTCAGGCATTGGATGGTGCAGTCATTTTCACGTACGTGCCCCCAAAGACGCGATTGATGTTGATTGTGAGGCCTCCGACGTTGGTTCCCACAGGGAAGGGGGCGCGGATGGAATCATGCTGCACAGCTGTAGCGTCGACCGTCAGAGTCACACGCTGAAGGCCCCTGATGTGCCGGATCACCGACACGAGGCCGGTGCGGACAACGCTGCCCGCATCCTCCACGCCAGTAGGCACTAAAGGGAGGAAACACACACAAGGCAGAAATGAGGACGGACATAGCTAATGCCCTCTTCTCTCAGCGTACGTGTCAGCTTGAAGTCTAGCGCCTTGATCGTTGGCAATCTGTCCGCCCCCACCAGCTGGTCGACGCCGACCTCCCCCATCCGCACCTCACTCACCTCCCTCTCCCTCCCCAGCGCCGCCAACACGCCCACCTTCTCCTCAGCACCCGACAACCGGTAGATGTCCACCCTCCCCACCTTCTTGGGCATCTTGCTGGCGAACAGCTGGCCAGCAGCAACACCCAGGTTGCTCCAGACATGCAGCTCTGAGGCTTTTGGGAACGGCTGCAAGTGGCTGATCATGGCGGGGTCGGGCGATGGCGTGTTGGCCGGGGGATCGAGGCCAGGGGCGTCGTTGTGAGCCAACACCTTCGTGGCCTCGTCGAATGAGAGTGTCTTGGCCATCTCGCTGGCCGATTGGCTGTGGCTGGCGTGCGGGTCGGTGAGGCCGTCCCCGGTGAAGGTGTACCTCACCGATGCGGCCTGCAATGCCAGCTGCTGGATCATGGTCTTGAGTGGGGGTGAGGGGCGGATGGGGAACTCGTGGTGGTAGAAGACGGAGAGGTCGAAGCCGAAACGGCCGCAGGTGGTGGTGAGCGTGAGTGGGGCGTCTGGTCGGCAGCACCTGCGGATCAGCCGATCCAGGGCGAGCAGCACAGGCATATTGCGGCGGCTGATGTCGTAGCCGACAGCAAAGCCCACGCGTAACTCCTGGAGCGACTGTCGGCAGCCACGCGCAACGAGCACTTCCTGAAGACAACAAGCACAGATGCAAGAAGGACATCATGAGCCAACCCAGGTGCCTCCCTTGTTGTCACCTGAAGCCGATCGACGCCCGCCGGGTTGTTACCTTCGACGTGAATGGTGCCGATGCTCTCCAGCTGGGCGAGTCGCCCTCCCTGCTGCCCATCACGTGCCGCAGGGACGCGCTCAAATACATCCGCCCACCCCTCACCCCTAAAAGCACCGCCCACACGCCGCAGCGAGCGGGACGAGCTGATGAATCGGCCCACTCTGTCGCCGCGGGACCCCCCCTCCAGCACAATGCCGAGTGAGGGCATCTCCCAGCGTCGGCCGGCCAGCCTCCGACGGGGACCCTTAAAGGTGGTGAGTGCGTGGAGGGTCGGGGGCGGGTCGAGACGAGGGGGGAGAGGCGGACGAGTCCTTGCGACGGTGTGCCTCGCCGTGCCTCTCAGCCGAACCTCTTGGATGGTGATGGCCTGCAGGGTCCCGCCGCCCATGTTGGCTGCACGTCGCCGGCCACGTGGCCCTCTACCAGGGCCACAAACACGTCCAGACACCACAAGGCAGCGTGGAAGGGACGGCGGAGGACGATGGTTGTGAGATGGGTGAGAAGCGCCCCCAGCTGGCTGACGAGAGGGGCGGGAATGCGCCGCCAGAAGCACCGCTCCTCGCACGTGCCGCAACTGATGGTGAGGTGCGTGTGGGCCGGTGCAGCCTGCTGGTAGATGGACTGGCTCAGCTGCACCAGCAAGTAGAGGGGCAGGAAGGCCACAATACTGACGCGAAGGCCAGGCTGCAAACACCCACATCACACACAGGGAGGAATCAGCGTGGCGTTCATTCTGGACATGTGTGCATCGGCTTGCCTCGTCAGTGATTCCTTGCCAAAGGACGCGCTCCCTCTCTTCCCGACGCTGTCGCTCTCCATCACTCTCGCCACCACCACCACCACCAGCAGCAGCCGATGAAGACGCTGCCGGCGTGTGATAAGACCTCTTGACCTGCACCCATGCACCCAGCACACACACAGCCAACATCCCTCTGTTGACATGCGCCAGTTATTGCAAGCGGTGCTGCGATGCGCCTTACCTGTCTACCGTCCTCCATGGCTGCAGATCTGATTCAGCGGCTCGGTATCTGCCCTCCGCTGCGATGAGCACTCCAATCAATGCCTTCTCTGAGGCCGCTACTTAACCGATGCTAACGGTCCCTCCCTGACGCACAAACACACACAGCACATGATCGAGGGAGGCACCGATGGTGAATGCGCCTCCTCCCTGCCTGCGGTACCTCAGGAAGGACAGACGCGATGATGCTTCTCAGTCGACCCATCGATTTGAGGCGTAGAAGGCACAGCGCGGGGCCTCAGCCGCCCCTGATGCTGCACGCGCCCCCCCCTGCCTCCTCTTCCTTGCATCGGTCCGATCTGCGAGCTCGAATCTCCGCATGGGAAACTTCCGGGTTCTCAGTTTTGACCGATGACAGGCTTGTCTGATGCCTCCACACTTCCTCTCGTCACCATACACCCATTCACTCACTCACTCACTCACTCACTGACCGGTGCGCGAAGCCTTCCCATCAGCGAGGCTCACTGAGGCGGGCAGACTCATAGAAACGACAGGAAACACATATTCTCTTCCCTCCCTGCGTGGCTGTGCGGTGTGTGCGCTGTCAGATCTGACGGTGACGGGCTGAAATGAGAGATTTCGCACATGTGCGGGGCAGCAAGCGCCTGACGCCAAAACTCACACACTGAGCAGTGAGTCGGTAAGCTGAGAGGACAGGCGCACTGATGACTGCATCCCATCTCGCTGTGTGGTTGCTTCCTTGGTGCAGGTGGTTGACCGTGTTCGTCACATGGACAGTAGCCACGAGGCCCCGGCTCCCTCGAGAGGTGGGCGCCAAGAAGAGACCAACAGCAACAAACAGCATAGGGAAGCGGTACGCACAAGTCCACACCCACACAGACACAGACATACAAGCTCATTGATGTGTGTCGCTGGTCAGGTGTCTGCTGATGACGGCGGCGCCAAGAAGCGTAGACGCGTAGACATCAGCCATGCTGCTTCTGGTGGTGGTGGTGGGCCTAGCGGAGGTACGCAAAGCATCGGCTGCCGTTGTGGTACTGCACATCGTCATTACCCCGTCCTGTGCTGTGTGTTGTGGTGCCTTCAGGTGGCTCGATTGCTGCGGCAGAGTCACAGCAGCAACAAGAGGGAGGTGCCACCTCCCTGTCGGCAGATCTGACGACCCCCATCCAGCACCCCCAGCAGCAGCAGCAGCAGCATCCCGTGTGGTACGTCTGCGCCCACCGCGGCAACGATTTCCTGCTCCGGGATGTGCTGCAGCTGAGGAAGACCTGCTGCTGGGCCAGAGGCCTCTTCGGAGCGCCTCAGCTGCGACAGCGGCTCAACCATGAACTCAGCACACAGGCGGGGCTGCGGCGGACGGCCAACGGACAGCAGCTGCTGACATTTGACGAGCAGCAGATGGGCGAGGGTGACCTGCTGGCGGCGCTGTGTGTGACGGAGGCGGGCGGCTGGAGTGAGATGAGCGAGGCGGTCGAGCTGGCGGGGCAGTGCAGCAACTGCCAGCTGCCTGTGAGGCTCACTCCGGCCGATCTGCACCAATACCCAAACAAGACGGTAAGCCAACCGAGGGAGGGAGGGAGGGAGGGAGAGAGACGAATGGCTCTCAATCGGTGTGGGGTGTGGTGTGTTGATGTGTTGTGTGTGCAGGCGTATTTGGCCGCTCCCCGTGTGTTGGCTCAGCTCAAGATGGTCGGCCCCCACATCCACCTCGGCGACGGCGTGACCTTCCAGCTGTTCCAGCACGGCAACACACTGCGGGCCGTCAAGGACGAGGACGGCTTCGAGATCGACATCAACCCGCCCATCCCTGCTTACCATCTCTTTCAGCAGCACCGACAGCAGCACGACCCGCCAGTCCGCAGCAGGATCTACTATTCTCGGCCCACGAACTGGTTGCTGCTGAGTGCATACGACTACGCATCTGTGTCGTCGTGTGTCAAGAAGATCGTCCTCGACACACACTTCGTGCAGACTCCTCAGATCAACAGGTGAGGCGGGGCATCGCTCTGTGAGGGCATTGCCACGACACACGAGTGTGTGTATGTGTGTGTGTCAGGCGTGTCGACAACGGCCGGCCGGACACCATCACGACACAGTCCCCCCACACACCAGTGGCGGGCTGCACCACCACCGCATCATTCCGCTTCACTGACAGTCACTTGACTTGGCGTGATCTCGTGCTCACCGACGCCGGCCACTCGTTCGTCGCACGGATCGCCGTCACGGATCTGCTGCACAACAACGGTCAGCCCAGCACAGCACAGCAAACCGTTGGGGGAGGAGGGTGGCAAATCCAGGGAGGCACATACTCTTATGCGCTGTCCTCCCCTGTCGTCCATTTGCAGTGCGTGTGCTCATCTCCACGACCGAGTCGGCTGTGTCTGGTGTGGGTGGTGCCTTCAAGGACCGCTTCCCGGAGACCACTCGGCTGGCGCGTGTGGTGCTTGGGGCCAGCATCGCGCAGAGGATCTTCGAGCGATAGACAGCTGGTGTATGTCTGCATCAAACACGACTGACACCAGCAGAAGATGCCGACACGACGTACTCAATGGTGTCGGTGTCTGATATCTTTCGGTGCGTGTCAGGCTGGGGGATGGTGTGGTGTTGACATTGGAGCGATCTGCCCGACATATTCTCGCAAGTGTGGGTGGTAGATAGTGGCGTGCTGTCTGCTGTGGTACTGGCTGATGGATGGGTGGGTGGGTGGGTGGTGGAATGTGAGCTGTGGGACTATCAACCTGTCTATCGCTCGCTTCGCTTGATGTGCATCCTATCCTGTGGCCGCCAGACGCAGCACATGTTGGTTGAATGACTGCCTTTGTTGATTGATGAAGGTGCCCATCCATTTATCGAACCATCCACTGTCCCGCCGACGGCGGTGGACACACATCCCCTCCCCGCCCCGGGAACTCAGTCCAACACAACCAACCAATCGCAGGCAGCCCCTTCACGTGAGTAAGGCCCATCTGGTAGGAAAGGCCAACATGGATGCTGCCTGCCGCGCAACCGCACTCACACAGAGTGGACATGGCAGCACCAATCATTCCCACCGCACGATATATATATACACACACAACAGACAGACAGACAGACAGACAAGGTGAGGAAGAATGGCAGAATGAACACGCGCACGAGACACCTGGCTTGCCGACGGATATGTGGCAAGGAGAGTGACGATGAATGGGCTCCACCACACGCACGCGTGTGTGCGCGAGAGTCCATTCGTCTGCCGCCCCCATCGTCACACCACTGCACACAGACGTCACTGGAAATGGACCACACAGCCAGACCACCACACCCAATGTATATGCACTGCCCACCCCAGGCGGCCACCATCCGATGTGCCGTTCACAGAAACACCACAGAAGGGCAGAGAGCGATGAATAAAGGAATGGACGAGTAGGCAGGTGTAGGATGGATAAATATGCTTCAGGTCGTGCAAGGGAAGAGTTCCTGCAACAGACAAAAGAAAGGGATGGATGGACGGATGGATCCGTCTGTCGGTGTCCCCCTCCGCTCACCCGCAGGATGGCCGACACAGCCGTCTTGAATGTGCCATTGCGAACACGCGAGTAGGTATCGTCTGCACAGCAACGCAATGCTGCTCTCGGGCGCCTCCACCCATCCAGCCCATCCATCCATCTCCTTACCGTTTTGTGCCTCGCCGTCGGGCGGCACGGACAAGCACACCCATTTGCGGAAGAAGCGCTCCACACGTATGCTCCCAGACAACACCTGCTTCAACTCCTTGACCTTATCAAATCACGCAAGCCAGAGAACCGTTCCCAGCAGACGTCCACACATCCACCCACCCACCCTTTGTCACCATTGTCATGTATTGGTGTGCATGCCTGACTGCCTGACCTGCTCATCGGACGGCTCGGTGTGGGCCTGTAGCTCGCCAAACCACTGCATCATGTTCGTCAGCACCGTCTCGTTGACCTGTCAGAGGACCACACAGTACGGAAGGCATCACTGGCACATGCATGTATTGGCGCGCATGCACTTGACCCGACTCACCGCGTTAAGAAGGCCCGCTGGAGGGCGCCCCAGGACGACGCCCGTCACCATCACCTCGTCATCGTCATGGTCATCGTCAGCCAAATCTATCACCTTCCGTGCCTCACCTTCCCCACCACCGGCATGACCAGCAGCTGCTGCTGCTGCCCCTGCTGATGCACCACGACCCCTCTCGACCTTCGGGCGCTTCGACGCCCCATCGCCGCCCGGCGGGCTGCCCCTCTTGTTCTGGTCCTTCTGCATCTGGTCCCGCGCCCAGCCCTCGATGACCCTGAGGGCAGAGCGGTCGGGGACGAGGTCGGCCTTAGTCAGTCGCTTGTCGCTGCTCGGGCTGCGGTCGCTCTGTCGATCAAAGCAAGAGGGAGAAGAGTTGCGGGGTGTGGTGTCGTGTGGTGTGGTGTGGTGTGTCCGTTGGTCGGTCACTGCCTGCCTGCCTGACCACTGCTTACGTGGTCGAGGTGGTCGCAGATGGCGTGGTACTCGTATGTGGTCTGAGAGGTGGGGCTCTGAACAGGCTGGCGGGGCACACCCAACGTGATGGGGCAGGTTGGCAAGAACTCTGCACACAAACAAAGCCAGACAAGAGGGAAGACATCATCGCAGCCGCACAGACGTCATCAGACGCGGTGCGGCTGCGTACCTGGTACATCCTCCTCACGCAGCCCATCAATGAACTCCCACACGTCATCGGGTAGCCTCGGGTACCTCACCGCCTCACCACCACCCGCAGCGCCACCATCAGCCTCTGCATCAGCCGCCGGTGCAAGTGGTTGAGCGCCGTTGGTGGACGAAGCGCCCTGGGCTCCCTGACCGCTCGGCCTAGTGCCCGCCGACGGACTGAAGCCAAAAAAGGGAAACATCTGCACGCACCGCACCCATAGAGCAATGACTGACTCGCTGCCAGAGATTCGCGTGTTCCTATGGTCTTGCCTCGCCTCTTCACCCCCCGCGAGCGGTGTAGCCCCTTACCGATGAGCAGATTTCAGCAGTATGCGATGCGGGAGGCCATCAGCAGAGCGAGGAAAGCTTCAGCGACGTCGACACGCACTCCAGGGGTGGAGTGAGGTGCCCCCAGCAGGGTTGGGAAAGGCCTTTGCCAAGCTCGCATCTGTAAATTCCTGGAGGCGAAATCCAATGACGTGAGGAAACGCCCATCGTCGCCGCCATGACGACCACTGCTGCCTCCTCCCGGTATGGGCGGGGTCGTGGTGTTGGAGCCAGCCCCACCATGGAGCCCGAGGCGACGGACGAGAAGTATCGTCGGGTGGAGGTGGTGGGCGAGGGCACCTATGGCGTGGTGTGGCGTGCAGTAGAGCGGACGACGGGCGAGGTGGTGGCCATCAAGAAGATGCGTTTGGAGAGCGAGGAGGAGGGCGTGCCGGGGACGGCGGTGCGGGAGTGCAGCATTCTCATGGAGCTGCAGCACCCCGCCCTGGTCAATCTCAAGGAAGTCGTCGCCGGCGCCACCGCACAGATCTACCTAGTCTTCGAGTTCGTCGTAAGGACAGTCGACACACACGCATTGCATCGCATTGGTCTCTCCGTTGCAATGTGTGTGTGATGGGCCGACGTGTGTGGAGTGTTCAGGATTTGGATGTGAAGAAGTTGATGAAGGGTTTGGCGTCGGTGGGGATGCCGACCTACATGAGCGGCAAACTCCTCAAGAGCTACGCCAGACAGCTGCTCGAGGGCATGGCCTACTGCCACAAACGCAAAATCCTCCACCGGTCCGCACACAGACCAACACCAGACACACCCACAAGGCCACAGCAGACGCATGATTGTGTTGTCTTGTCTTGTTTGGTGTGCTGTGGATGGATGCACAAACTTTGTGTGCAGCGATTTGAAGCCGCAGAACCTGCTGATAGGTCGTTCGGGTGAGTTGAAGGTGGCCGACTTCGGTTTGGCGCGTGCGTTTGAGATGCCGGTGGACAACATCACCACCGAGGTCATCACACTCTGGTACAGAGCACCCGAAATACTACTCGGCAAAGCGGTCAGCACACACACATATAAAAGTGGGGCCTGGGCTGCCCCGGCTGCCTTGACACACGCGTACATTTGTGTGTGTCCATGTGTCCATGTCTGTGTTAGGTGTATTCGTTGGGTGTGGACATGTGGTCGGTGGGGTGCATCATCGCCGAGATGGCCCAGGGGACGGCTCTCTTCCCGGGCGACTCCGAGATAGACACGCTCTTCAAAATATTCAAAACTCTAGGTGTGGTGGGTGAGGGCAGGGGAACCATGGCCAGGCCAGCCCGATGTCATCCTTTCCGTGTGTGCAGGTACCCCTGACGACCGTGTGTGGCCCGAGCTGGGCGAGGAGGGCAAGATCAAACACTGGAAGGTCTGATTGCCATCCAACGACCAGCCATATACCTTCTCTCAGCGTGTCTCCCACTCTGTCTGCTGCTGCTGCTCGTGTGTTTTGTGGTCAGTTGACGTTTCCCAAGTGGCCTGCGTGTGGTCAGGATCGGCTGCGCGAGAAACTCACCAACATGGACACCCCCGGCGTTGACCTCATCTACAGGCAACACCACACACACACACATAGAGACACCACATCACGCAACACCCATTCCCCTCCATCCATCTGTTCATCAGGATGTTGCAGTACGACCCCCAGCAGCGCATCTCGGCGGCCGACGCCCTGGACCACCCGTGGTTCAGCGACATGGCCGGTGGTGAGGACCCTCGTGTGGCCGACACGCTGCGTGCCGTCATGCACGCCATCGAGAAGGAGAAGCAGGCCAGGGCGGAGCGCGACAGACGCATGCGCGCTGCCAGGGCGGCCCGCGGAGGGGGCGGAGGGGGACAGCAGCACAGGTAGATAGCTCAGAGACGAGAGAGGGGGCGATGGATGGATGGATGGATGGATTGGGGGTAGCCGTAGACGGAGACAGACTGACAGACTGACAGATGGATCATGTGCGGGTGTTGGTGCGATGACGGTCTGCGTTTGCGTGCGTGCGTGCGTGTGTGGCTACTGGATGAATGATGGTTTGCCGTTCCGGATGACGATACATACGGCCAGGCACACAGACAGGAATTTCACTCGAGCAGATATCACAGCCAGCACACCTCCCCATAGCAGACCACAACAGCAACAGTCGGCTCGGTGCACCCCTCCCTCCCTCTATCTTATGGTACACACAGTGACACTCAGTACGAAGCCCAAGTCATCGCATCCACGCGCCTCTCAAACACGAATCGTCTCTTGCTGTCCGTCCATCCATCCATCCATCCTCAGCGCTTATCGCACGACCGCCGTCACGGCAACATACACTTCAATGAAGTGTGCATTTTCGTATCGTCCCGTCCGGTCGGGCTATGAGCACTGAGGTGGACAAGGCTCACTGGAAGACGCAACGCAACGTGGGATTGTGTGTGTGTGTGTATCCGTGCCGTCATCTACGCGTACAGTGTTGTATTGTCGGCCAGGCAGCCAGCCGGCTGTTCCTGCCTTGCTCCCACCACAGACAGAAACGGAGAAACGCGAGAATCAATCAACCCTCACAATTCGCCGTCACCGTACGCAGTGGAAACAAGGCAGCAACAGTTGGGGCTTAGCCAAAGCAGCAAGTAACCCATCAACCAGGTAAGTGGGTATTACACATAAGAGGGTACAAGACACACAGGACAATACGAGACGACCAACACACGTGCTCTTGCTCTCTTCTGCCACCGTGCACTGTTTGCTGCCCGCCGCACCCACATCGGCCTCCCTCATGCCGGCACTCCACGTGTGTCGCATGACCACTGGATCGGACAGGCATCAGACGTGAATCCCCGGCAACTTAGAGACCGATGTGTGCGCGGGAGCAGCAGATGGCCATACACACATACACACACTGCATTAGCACCCCCTTCGTGCGATCGGTCTCGTGTGTTACACATCCAGCCAGAAAGACGTCCGGACATACAAAGACGTGTCCATCCAATACATACGCACACATTCTCTCTGGGTGCGTGGCCGTGGCGGGGCGGGGCATCCGCGCGCTGCCGTGATAAAAGCGCTGCTGTGAAAATGGCCTGCCTGCCTGCCTGCCCGGAAATCACGAAAAAGGCTTCCTCCGTCACTGGTTGACCCAAAAGTAACCCATCCATCCATCCATGTGTGTGTCATCCATGCCACGTATGTCAGAGGATCTGCCACTCATCGCCGGCGTGCCCGCCCTCTAGCTCCGACCGCAATGTCTCCGTCTTGAGAGCAGACTGCACACACCACAAACAGGGGCGCACACACACATAAACATTGCTCGCGCATACGCCCCCACACACGGATCTCACCTGTATCCGGAAGTCAGGTCTCGGCGCGAACCAGGTGGTGACGTTGAGGAGCGTGCACTCATTGCCGAGGTTGGGGTCAAACCGGCACTCGTAGAATACCCCATTGTGGTGCAGCACATAGAGGTGGTTGGAGTGCGCACCGGCGAAGGCACACAGGGGCCCCACGAGCGAGGACATGTTGGGCAGCCGCACGTCGCTCGCCAGGTGGTCGGACGGGATGTGAAACTGCGCGAAGCTCCGGGCGGCGCTGAAGTAGCGAGGCAGCACACCCTGACACCGAATTGAGACAAACAGATCAGAGAAAGATGACGACCGGTGTAGATGTGGTCGTGGTGTCTTGCGGATCTTGCCTGCCCACCTTGAGGACATCCGAAACGACCTCGACGCCCGTGTTCATGACGGCCGTCACAGCGGCCGGCAGCGCCTCCCGCCCCATCTGCAGCGTCGAATTCAGACCCTGACCCGCACCGCCACCCCAGTGACCCAAGCCGCCATACCCCGGGGAACCTGGCACGTTGCCACCCCCACCTCCACCTCCACTGACCCCTCCCGCTGCCCTCTCGCCCCCACCACTGCCGGGAGGTGACCCTGGTGGCATGGCGTGCTGCATCGACGGTGACTCGCCGTTGCTGGTGGACATTGGCTGGGGCGGGTTGACGACTGGCGAGGGGGAGGGGGAGGGCGGGATGGGCATCGGCTGCCCAACACCGCCACCAACACCACCACCAACACCAGCACCGCCCTCCATCGATCCATCTGTCGAGGACGAGTGCGAGGGGTTCATGTATGGCGACGACTCCGCAGACGATGGGGGGTTGGGGATGGATGGGTTTGAGGGTCGGGGTAGCGATGCGATGTGGGTGTGTGGGGGCAGGGGCTGGGAGGGGTTTGGGTTGGAGGGGTTGACGACGAGCTTAAAAATGTGGATGGTGGGGGAGGAGGACGCCACGGCCAGGTACTGCGAGTCGGGCCGGAAGGAGAGGCAGCTGATCAGGCTGCTCTGGGTGCCGCGGCGCAGCTCGTGATACAGCTGCCCATCAGTGGCTGAGAACACGCGAACCACCGTACCTGCCACATCGCACAGTACACAACACGTGATGTGATGTGATGTGATGTGTGTGTAAGTGCGTTTCCTCTCCTCTGGCGCACGGCACGGCACAGCCACTGACCGGTCTCAGAGGCCGTGGCGATCAGTGATCCCTCCTGGTTGAAGGCGATGGCGGCGAGGGGCGTCTGGTGCGCCTGGAAGGCGTGGCTGCCGTTGTGTGGCGGCACGGCAGCCATCATGAGGGACGTCTGCCCACCGCCGATCTCCGGCGGCCCGTTCTGCACCCTCACCGCCCCACAGGCGACGGCGGGGCAGGCGAGTCGCCATGCGTTGGTGTGTGGGTCGGGCTGGGGAGCGATGGCGCAGAGGCCGCGGGGGTTGGCGCCCGTCTGGATGTGGTCGATCACTTGCAGAGGGTCACACGCATACACATACACCTGTTGGTTGGTTGGCACACAGGACGCATCGTGTGGGGTTTGTGTTCGTGTTTGTGTTGCGTTGTCCGTCCGGTGCGTACAGCGTATTCGGTGACGAGTGCGATGATGTCCCGTGTGAGGCAGACGCCCTTGATCTCAGCGCGTGACCGCAGCTCGCCCACGAACTCGCCCTTCTGGTCGTCCCATATCTTGACCTTCCGCGGCTCACACGCACTCACGAGGGCAAAGATGTTGGTGCGGTACAGCATGCCCGCCAGGGCGATGGCCGGCGACTCACGCTGGTCGCGAGAATGACCCCGGTTCTGTAGACAAGTCAGACAGACAGACAGGCAAAGAGAGTGATGAAGGCGTGTGTTTTGGTGTGTGTGTGTGTGTGTGTGCGTGTGGCGTGTGGCTGCGAGTCACCCCTCCGTTGGTCTGCATGGCTCCATCTTCCCTCCTCGAGAACTCGTGGAGCGGCTCACACGTGTAGACTCGGAAGCCTCGCGTGGTGCCGCAGACGAAGCACGAGCTGTCCTGGTTGAAGGCGCACGACAACACGTAGCAGCTACTCATCGATACCACCCACTCGAAGCCACCCGGATGACGTTCTCCTCCTCTCGCCTCGCGACGCACTTATCCACAGGACGGTCACTACTCTGTGGCGGACAGACTATGAGAAGCCAGATATTCGATGGACGAGCAGCGCTTGGCTCGTCAGTTTTCCTTTCCCTTCCACTGCGAGCTTCTCATCAGGCGACAGATCTGGCGGTTCGGCACATGCTTGCCGCTTGACGCCAGGCGCCCTCAGTGGCCTGTCAACGGGGGGCTGCAGCAACGATTCGTTCCCGGTGCATCCGCCACGCGTGAGTGGTTGAGAAGGGTGGTTGTGTGATGGCTGAGAAGGTGCTGACGAACACTGCGCGGCTGGGGCTGGCGGCAGGGAGCCTCGGACTGATCCCTTACTTTTGTCTGTATAATGGTAGGTACAAGATGTACAAGAGACAGACAGACAGATCTGGCTACAACAGGCGACCTCATCCTTGTGCGTGTGTGAGTGCAGTTGATGGTGGTGAGCGGTGTGTCATGTTCAACCGGTTCGGTGGTGTGTCCAACAAAGTGACCGGCGAGGGCACTCACTTCAAAATACCGTGGTTCCAGGTGAGCGACCCACATGCAGTGCAGACCGCCCTGTGGCTTCCTGTCGGCGAGCGTGATCTCCTTGTCTGTCGGTGTCTGTGGTTCAGGTGCCGTTCATCTATGACATCAGAGTGCGACCGAAGGTCATCTCGACCACCACTGGAACAAAGGGTGAGCTGGCCACACTGCAGTGATGCACGGCGTCAGTCCTCTGAATGTGTGTGTGTGTGTGTGTGTGCAGATCTGCAGACGGTCAGCTTGAGTCTGAGGCTGCTCTTCCGCCCTCTTGTTGGTCAGCCACGCAGCAACACAGCACACCCATCCCGTCTGCATGTGATCACATCCGCCCCGCTGCGTGCCCATCTCCCTCAGACCGTCTGCCCGTGCTGCACAAGACGCTCGGCCCCGACTATGACGAGCGTGTGCTCCTCTCCATCGGCAATGAGATCCTCAAGGCTGTCGTGGTACGCAGCGCAGCCATCCATCCTTGCACAGACCAACCACACAAAGCCGCCTGTTACGTGCGTCAACGTGCATTGGTGTGTGCGTGTGTGTGTGTGTGTGTGGTCGCACTGCTGCACTGCTGCACTGCAGGCTCAGTACAATGCGGAGTCTCTGCTGACTCAGCGAGACAAGGTCTCCCGCGACGTGCGTGACGCCATCACCGAGAGAGCCAAGGCTTTTGACATCATCCTCGACGACGTCGCTATCGTGAGCAGACAAACACACGGGCAGCCAAGCTGCCATGAGCATCAATCAATTGTGTGTGTCTGGTGTGGTGTATGCAGACCCACCTGAGTTACGGCAAGGAGTTTTCAAAGGCCATCGAGGAGAAACAAGTTGGTGAGTGACGGCGTCCTTTGATTCCTTTGATATGGTCCCACACATCTCACCCTCTCTCTGTGTGTGCGTGTGCGTGTGTGTGTGTGTGTGTGTGTGCAGCTGAGCAGGAGGCGGAGCGCGTCAAGTTCATCGTGGCCAAGGCCGAGCAGGAGAGACTTGCGGCCGTCGTCAGGGCAGAGGGAGAGGCAGAGGCTGCAGAAATGGTACGCACCACAATCATCACTGACTGACTGACACACCCATGTTGGTCATTTCTCTCTGTGACCCTGTGCTGTGTGCGTTGTGTGTGCAGATATCGAAGGCTCTGAAGGAGCACGGTACGGGTCTGATTGAGGTGCGACGGATCGACACCGCAAAGGACATCGCAGAGACACTCGCCAAATCAAGAAACGTCATGTAAGCGGCACACACCACATATACCTCCCACAAATGCACTACGTGTCGACCACCGCCGTCATGTGTGGCGTGTCATGTGTTGTCTTGTCTTGTGTTAGGTACGTGCCGAGCGGTCAGAACATCCTCTTCAACCTCGGGATGCCCGGCGGTGGCGGCGGCGGCCAGGCATCGTAACCCTCTTCCGCTCTTCTCTCTTCATCACATTCTGTAGCCGCTTGCTTTGTTCCTCCATTGGAGGAACAACCTCTGCTGTCTGCTGCGTGCTGGATGTGTGTGTCGATGGCGAGCCTTTCTTTCGTCGTTTGCCACACGGCCTTTCTCGCCCCTCGTGCCTGACGTGATGCCCATTGATATTTCAACACCACCGATGCGACGCCATGCGATGCTTTCCGCCGTTTGCGGCCGTCATGTGTCGTGTCGTGTGTCTCTGCGAGTGAGCTTCGAGTGTGCGAGGAGTTTCTGGGTTGGTGGTCGTTCGTTCCCTGATTGAGTGATTTAAGCCCCTCACTGGCCTCCCGCTTTCTCGATCTCCTGCTCTTGCTCGCCGCGTGGCTGTCCCATCTGAGCATCAGCCCGAGCCACATGCACGGTCCGGGTGGTGATCAGATGGGGCAGTGCCACCGCGAGCCGCAGCAGGTTTCTTGAGAGAAGGGAGGTGAGGGATCGCACCGTGACGACTCAGTCGGTGATGTTGAAGATATACTATGACTGCGGGCGCTCATTCAGAAGACAAATCACATTCATTCAATCGAAAAAGGAAACAAACGGTACCACTCATTTCATTGACTCACACGGGACGGGACGGGACACACACAGCCATGCGGACACACACGGCCATGTTCTTTCTTGTCAATCCATCCGCCTGTCTGTCTAGTCGCATCACATCCGTCCATCCGTCTGTCTGTACACGCGTCCCTCAATCCATCCCTCCATCCAGCGTTCCGATCAATGGAATGAATGGTGGAGGGAGGGACATACACACATACATAGAGAACAACACATGTATGTATGTATGTATGTCAGCTAGGATACAGACCGCCCCCTGCCTATCTCTAGATAGATGTAGCAGGCAGCAGCAACACATCCATCCATCCATCGGGGCCGATCGGCCGGCCGGTCGGTCGGTCGGTCGGTCGGTGGATCGCGCAATCGATCAGCTCAGCACGCACACGAGCCGGTGGACCAGCTGGAGGCCTTCTGGTTGCTCGATACCTGACGCACATCATACATAAGAGGTCTTCATTGATTGACTCCCATGCCATGTGGAAGCGTGTGAGTGCAGTGCAGTGCCTGACCTGAAAGCCGCCAGCGTCAGAGTCCTGGGACTTCTTGGGCAACTTGCGCGCTGCAATGCACAGAGGGACAAAGAAACGCAGTGAGCGAGGAAGGCTCCACAGAGCAGACTGTCTGTGTTGTGTTGAGTGTTCATCGCATCGAGCGACCGACCCCACGGACAGACCTATTTCGTCAAAAAGCTCCCTCACGCCCTCGCCTGTCTTGGCTGACGTCTCCTGAGAGAGATGAAGGAAACAACACAACACAACACCAGATGCGTCCATCCATCCATCCATCCGTCCCTCCCTGACTCATCAGCTGACCTTGAACAGCAGGGCGTTGTCTTCTGCATACCCCTCGGCCAGCTCGGTGCTCACACACCTGCTGGCCTCCAAATCTATCTTGTTGCCTGTCAACGCTGGTGGATTGACACAGACATTCCGTGCAGTGAATTCCCTGCCTGTCTGTCTGTCTGTCTGGGAGTGTAGGATACGATTGGCATGCCAATCAACGTCATACATACCGATGACGACATCTGATGGGAGCACGGCTTTGAGTTCGTTGATCCATGACTTTGCGCCGTCGAACGACTCCTTGTTGGTGATGTCATACACCACCACCGCCGCCGCCGCCCCGCGGTAGTACATGGGCGCCAAACTGCGGTACCTCTCCTGACTGCACCAACCAACAAACCATCAACACAATTAACAAAACAACGCATGCAGGGCGGGAGTGCAACACGCGCTGGCGGCATTTCTGCGGCCTCTGCCTGCCTGCCTGCCGCCCGCTGGCCTTGCGTACCCTACCCTGCAGTGTCCCATATCTCGAACTTGACTATCTCGTCACCCAACGTCACTGACTGAGTCATGAAGGCAGCTGCACACAGAGAAAGCAAATCATGGAGAACGCACAGCATACATAGTGTGTATGCATCTCTCCTCCTTTGCCTCTGTATACTCATCTCACCTCCGATGGTCGGTTCTTGATACTCATAGAATTCGTCCTTGGCGAACCGCACCACCAAGCAACTCTTGCCCACTGACGCATCTCCCAGCAGCACCAGCTTGTAGTGCACCGTCTTGGGCAGCGGCGACGACGCATCCATGCCCTCACTGCACAGCTACAACCAGCGCGACGCAGCCCACTTCTCCGCTCTGCTCAAAAACTTAACAACTCCGATGGCGGCAGCTTGAAGCCGACCGTGTGGTCCTTTCCTCCTCCCTCTTTGCGCGCTCACACACGAGCTTGCCTTTTTCCGGGGATCCAAACACAGGCTGGGCTGTCGGTTTCCAGGCCCTTAGATGTAGATCTGATGATCAAGAAAGTCGCACTCAAGATGGTGCGACACTTCAGCTCAGCCGATGAGTCAACAGGCCACAGTGAGGTGACTGGCGGCTAGTTGGGACTTAACTAACGATGGACACACTGACGGTGTTCTGCTCCGCCTGTGGGGCGCTGAGCAGTGGTGTTGAAGGCACATCCAGTCGCTGCCCTGCCAATGGTGGGTGAGCTGGCACATCAAGCAGAGAGAACAGGCAGAGTGTTGTCTGTGTCAACTAACTTGTGTGTGGTGCAGGTGGCGGTGATCATGAATTCACGCTGGCCACCAGCGGTGACCGAGCCTTCAAGGATAACTATGGTGACCTGCCTATGCGCGAGGCGCCCTTCTCCTTGGAAGACATCATCATACGTACGTCAGCCGCACAAACGAATCTCGCCCAGCCCACAAGCATTGATCGATGCGATGCATGGGTTTGTGTTGGGCTGTCCGCCTCTGCCTGTGTGCCTCTCTCTCCTCAGGCACGGCCTCCCCCCATGTGTCGCCAGCAGGCCATGCCCTCGTTCCGCCCGAGATGCACACACAGGAGCAGCAGCAGCAAACCGAAGACCAGCAGATGCCGCCCTTCAAGAGTGACTCGTTTGCGCAGACCTCACCCAGCAGGCAGCTGCCAGACCCCTTCGAGTTGGAGGCCCCGCCGCCCCCGCCTCCCGCATTCCCCTCGGTGCCCACCAAGAAGCGCGTCAAACGCTTCGCCGATCTGAGCGACGAGCGGCTGCTGCACACGGTGGCTGGGGCTGACGAGGAGGCGGAGGGTGCCGAGGACACACCGACCATGCGCAGCGTGCTCGACAAGCTGCGGCACCTGACGGTCGACCAGATCGTCACGCGCATGCAGTCGCTCAAGGGCAAGAGAGGCAGTGGGGTGGCCTCCCCCGATGTCCTCGTCAATGTCCTGCGGCTCATCAGCTCTTCTGTCGAGGGCCATGACGCACCTGCACCTGCACCTGCTCGTGGGCCAAGGGCGGCGCGCAAGGCTGCCCCGGCACCTTCGCCAGCGCAGCCGACAGCACGCAGCGGCCGGGGAGGAGGGAGTCAGCGGCCACGCGGCCGGAAGAGTGGCACTGGTGGCAGAGTGAGGGGCGACTCGGACGAGCCGATGCTGCCTGTGGGGCTGGTGGATGACGTAGAGGTGGACAAAGAGGAGGACAAGATGCCTCGTCAGCCTGCTGTGGAGACCGAGAGGCGACCACAGGAACTGCCTGAGGATGTGAGCACATAAACAAACCATACCCAGAGAGAGAAAGGGTGCCGTCCGATGACCTGCGTGTATGTGTGTGTGTGTGTGTGTGTGTTCTCTTCTTCTTCTTCTTCTTCTTCTTCCTCTTCTTCTCTTCAGGTGGTGGTGTGTCAGACGCCCAGTGAGGCCTCCCACCGCGACCCCGCCGGCGCGAGAGAGGAGCCCAAAGAGCCAAAGCACGACTCTGAGCCACCAGAGCCGAACCAAATGGACGACCTCCCTGACGAGCCCGATGAGTTGCCGCCCTCGCCGGGCGACTCGCAACCACCACCACGACCCGATGACCCATCCCCGCCACCAGCAGAAGCGGCACCAGCAGCACCAGCGCCCCCACCCGCTCCACCGGCTGTCGACCAGGCGACCAAGGAGAAGAGCGACCAGCGAAGAGAAGGGGGGCCGGCTGCGACAGAGCAGCTTGTCGATCCTCCTCGCGACCAGCCTCGCCAGACTGACCCAGAGCAGCGCGGAGGAGACCTATGCAACACAGGCATGGCCGAGAAGGATGAGTCAAGGCAGGCCAAGGAGGACGCGGCCCCCATGGGCGATGAGGGTCTTCCAGCTGGTGGGTCGCTGGCCGACCAGACGCCCAACCAGCAGCCATCTGCGAGTACATGTAACAAGACGGAGGAGGGGAGGGATGTCAGTCCGTCCGACAAGGCCGCAGCCAACCCACCACCAGCACGACGCGACGATGGCCAAGGAGAGGAGGAAGAGGTGGGCGAGGTCGAGAGCCCAGACGAGCCCACCCCAGCCGCCACTAAGCCGCCGTCGCCAGCCCGAGGTGAGGAGAAGGGTAAGAGCCGTGAGGAGTCCAAAGCCACCGAGGAGCCTCCAGCGGCAGCCGCCACTGGTGCGTCACCGCCGTGCAGGGACGACAAGAAGGCAAAGGATGGCGAGCAGCGTGGAGGGGAGAGCCACACAGAAGCCAAGCAGGAGGAGGAGCAGCAGCAGCAGGACCAGCAGGTGGCACGCTCTCCTCCCGCAATACCTGTGGCCCCGGCGGTGTGTCTCAACGACGAGGCCATGCTCGACGAGGACATGACCCCCGCCGCCGCACCCGCTCCACCACCAGCCAAGCCACCTTCCCCTCTGCCAGCCGAGCCACCCCGCGAGCCAACTCCACCTGCATCACCCGAGAAGGGCCCGGCAGCCAAACCACCTCAAGACACTCACACGGCCAACCGAGACAAGAAAGAGGACAAGAAGGGCACCGAGGATGGGCAGAAGGGCCCGGCTGCGTCAGAAGAGGAGAGCCCGGCGGGTCATGGAAGGGCTGGCAGCGGTGATGGGAGTGTGAGGGAGAGCGAGAAGGACGACGGTGGCCGTTCTGAGGTGCAGATGTCGGTGGATGGGGGCGAGAGCACGGGACGCAACGATGACAGGGACGGGGACAAGGACAAGGACAAGAACAAAAAGAAGAAGCGGGCGAGGGGGCCATCGCCGCCTGCGGACCTATTCGACGGGTGGGTGAGGGACACCACACCACACAGCACACACGACCACACGGACACATGAATGAGCAACACGCGCCTTCCTGTCCTCCCTGTTGTAGGTACACCCCTCAGCTCATCTTCACATCAGTACGTCGTCGCGAGATCAAGCGCCGCGACCCCAACGTCCCCCCCGACCAGCTGCACGAGCGTGTGTGCAAGTCATGGGAGGCCTTCCAGCAGCTGCCTCAGCACGAGCAGCAAGAGTTCACAAGCCAACTGGAGGCCTGCCGGCTGGGCAACCCCCACATCCCACTCGCGGCCTTCTTCAGCAACCAGCCGGTCATCACGCCAATCGAGCAGCGGGAGAGAGAGCAACGGGGAGAGGGTAAGGGCGAGCCGGCGGCTGCTGCGGCCGCTGAGAGGCCGAGGGCTGCCACCAAGCGCGGACCGTCCCCTTCTGCCGCCCCTCCATCTGACCGTGCTGCAAGCGCTGCGTCGGCTCCAGACGACCAGCAGGACAAACCGGTGAAGAAGAGGAAATACCGGTCTCGCGAGGTGCCCCCCGCCCCCCTCCCCTCTCTCCAGCTTCCGGGCATCGCAAGTCGGCGGAGCCCTCCAGGCCGCGACGACGAATCGCCACAAGTAGGCGTGGGTTTCCTGCGAGCCCATCTGAAGCCCGAGGGTGCGACCGTGCGTTATCGGCCGATGGTGCTGGACTACAGCAGCAACGGCGGTGGGATGGTGCGGGGCAGTTTGAGTGTGGAGAAGTACCGTGGCAAGAGGGGAGCAGGGAGTGGGGGTGGGGCGGGCAAGGGGGCCGCTGCTAGTGCAGCTGCTGCTGTGGCTCTGGTGAGAGAGCTGAGTGCGTGGGACTGGTGGATGGGCAAAGACAAAAACACCGCCACTGCTGGTACGTACTTACGGGGATGGGGAGGGAGAAAACGACCACAGCACGATTGATTGTCTCATTGCGCTGCGCACGTTCTCCTTGTCTCTGTGTGTCTGTGTGGGTCAGGTGCGGCTGTGCAGTATGCGTACAAGACGGCTCCCACGGCCTACACGGCCTGGTGGGACGCCAAGGTCATCGAGGCAAACCACGCCAACATACACATACGATTCAGGACCGCAGCCAACGCACCAGCACAGGTCAGTCAGCAGCAGACCCCTCCACCCTCATGCTGTAGGCATCTGTTGTGTCACGTGTATGCAGACAAGGTGGCTGACGCGTGAGCAGTTCCTGCCCTGCTCAGTGCCCGTGCGCGACCCGCCAGAGGGCGTGTTCCGCATCACGCCGCCAGGGGTGGAGAGGGACGCCTCAGATCTCTACGTGGGTGCGTGCGTGTGTGTGGCCAACGAGGAGAACACACTCGAGCTGTACGATGCGGTAATCCTGGACGTCTTCCGCGACGGCGGGGGACGCGACAAGTGAGTGAGCCAGAACGTGGCCATGACAGTGACGCATTCTCTCCATCCATGGAATCTTCTTTCTCTTTCCTTCTCTCAGCGGGCCATCTGTGAAGCTCTTCTACTTCGTCGATAATGGCATCGATGACCGGCTGAAGGCCTCCTACGTGCGGCACAAGCTGCCCTACGAGCTGCACCCCTCGCCCCTCTCTCCCGCCCGCGACGCACCCAACCAGCAGGCGGCCACGCCCGACGAGAGTTACGACTGGACGGTGCCGCGGCCGTGCGACACGCCCAAGAACAAGGAGGGTCCCTCCATCAACATGACACTCATACCTTACTGGATCGACTGCCCGGCGTCGGCACACGTCTGGCGGCACGTCGATGCGGCCATTGTGCTGCCCAAGGGCGCACAGCCGGCCATCCCCGACCTCTGCGGACAGCCAGGCGAGAGCAACAACAGCAAGAGGGAGGAGGGAGGTGGTGCAGACGACGTCGGGCGTGAGAGAGACGACAGTGACAGCGACGAGTCGTCGTCAGAGGAGGAGGAGCAGCTACTGGAGAGCCGGCTGGCGAAGCTGCCCATCAACCTGGACACAGCTGCCGACGGGGAGCCCTCATCGCCATCGTCCGAGGAGAGCAGGGAAAAGGAGAAGAAGCACAAGAAACGGAAACAGACTGAGACGAAGAAAGATAAAGACAAAGCCAAAGGCGAGGGTGGCGGCCGTGACCGTGACGCCCATCCCAGCCACAAGCCACCCCCCAAGAAACGCAAGAAGGACCAACAAGACGGCGGCAAGAAGTCCTCCCTCTCGCCCCGGTTCGCCGTGTCGCCGCCGCGTGCCATGGTGCCGGTGAAGGAGCTCAAGCCGCCGCCCAAGAGGCGGCACGATGAGGGGCAGGGGGAGGGGGCATCAGACGAGGGTGGTGACAGCAGCAGCCACGCTGACAAGGGCAGACTGGCCGCACCGTCCATCGGTCAGCAAGCGCACATGTCTCTATGACATGACATGAAAACACCACACCTACTGAGTTGAGTGTGTCTGTTGGTTGCGTGTGTTCGTAATGGATGCAGGTAGCAGCCAGGGCTGCGAGAAGGCTGGTGCGGGTTCGTCTGAGGGCAACTGGGTGCGGCGGAGCAGCCGCATGTCGCAGCCGCCAATGGAACGCTTTTTTTCGAGATGATAGCTGAGTGAAAGGTGCGTAATACGGAACGAATGGATTATTGCATTGATATCGAATCGAGACCAGGGATGGATGATTTCTGTGTCTATTATCCGAGTGCTGCCGTGTGTGTTACCTTCTCATTGCATTGCGTGTGTGGGGGTCTCGGTTCTCATTGAAACCTTCAACCCTCTCAGCCATGAGAAGCAGAAACTCATGGCTGGGTCGGTTGCGGGAGGATGTGCGGACCGAAACCATCACGCAGACGCTTGTGTGGATGCCAGCCACACTGAGTCGATGAATGCAATGCAAACAAAGAGAATGAACACTTTCCTTCTTCGTCGTCAAGAAGGAAGGCACTCATTGAGTCATGAATGAAGTCTTTAAGCGACGTGTCAGCTGCAGCACGGCAGGGAAGGGCGGGGGAAAGAAAGTGTCTCCGACAGGTCGCCATCCATCCATGCACACAGCTAAGAGCAGTAATACATCGTCAGTATCGAGTCGTTGTCATTCAGAAAGGGATAGTCAGGCAGATCCCCAGCAACCTGTTCACAATACAGGCACACGAAACGCACCCCACCACACCACAGCAGACACCACAGCAGCCCTTTCCCTTTGACCGACAAGCTCTTGCATGCCCATGCATCCCCACCGTGTGTGTCTGTGTAGTGTACCTCGGTGTTCGTCAGCGTCACACGAGCATCATCAGCCTCTCGTGGTCCCTGATAGCTCGTCGACCAGACGGGGACAAACATGGGATTGGTCGGTACCGATGGCTGCGGCACTGCACGCCCTTCCGAATCTGTCGGACAACCGCACCCCAGCACTTCGACGCGCACCTCCGCCAGCGACGGGTCTTGTGTGCTGCAACACGCAGAAGACACCGCATACGTCTCGGCTGCCCGATCCGATCCATAGATGATGTAATATCGTTCGTGTGTCTGCTTACATACAGTTGGTGTTGTTTGTTGCCCAGCTTCGAGGTCTCCTCCTCGTTGGTCTGCGGACCGTCCGTGTCCTGACGAACCACCAAGACGGAAGCCAGGGATGCACTGGATCCCCTGACAGCACCGTGCAACGGGGGGGTGGATGAGGCCAGGCCATGGCTGCCTGTCTGTGTCTCCCCTTACCGGTCTTTCGTCGCTTATGTCGCGGCGAGCACGGCGCGAGGGCCTCGGCGGAGGGCTGTCTTGATCCACCTGCACCCCCTCCACCATATTCTGTGCCGTCTGCTCATCCTGAGTCTGCACCACGAACTGAGAATCTGAGAAGCGAGAGCAGGGGAGATGAGCGGATGTCAGATCATCACACAGCCCTGCTTGTCTTACCATTCCTGGTGATCTGAGGTCCATTCTGAAGGACGGCCTTCTCGACACTCTCCGCACCATTTTGGCCACCTGCGTTGTCCCACTTGGTGAGCCCGAAGCCTGGACACTCTTCGATCCCCTGCCACACACAACAAATACGGCACAACTTTCATGCATGTGTCGGAAGAGACGATGATGGATGGGGTGGGTGGGACGGCTCACATTCTCCAGCTGGATCCGCTTGATGCCCTTGAGGTTGTCGATCGACGGAGGAGGAGGGCCGTAGGGAGTGCGGCAGTCGACATGGTGGCTGTGGCTGTGCCCTACCTCCACCGAATGGGAACCACGACCCACAGACGACGTCCGAGCGAATGGCGGGGTGGGTGTCGGATGCGGCTGCACAAAGGGATTGCGCGAGGGCTGTGGTCTGTCTGTCATGGTGGCTGCTGCTGTGGATGGCGTGTGGTGCTGGGGACCCGCAGGCGATGGCCGCTCGTCGGGTATCTCGGGCACAGGCTCGCGACGATCTTTGTGTTGTGCTGTGGTGGCGGTAGATGGGTCGGAGGATGGCCAAGAGCTGTTGTCATCCCTGTCGACCTTGTTGGGCTCCGACGAGCCCTCCTTGCTGGACTCGACGGCCGATGTAATGCTTGTGGAAGGGGCATCAGTTTTTGCCTGGCGATAGGCATCGAAGATCGCCCGGAATACGCCGCGATGTTGCAGCTGGCCGGCATTGGAGGCGCTGACCAGAAACGTCCACAGGTTGCCCACAGACCACTCAAGCTCCCGGATGCAGTTGACCACACGGGCGAGGTCGGCCACACGGGCGTCATCGATGGGGAAGTAGTGCAGGGCCCGGTTGGCCACGCTGCACGCCATCAGCTGTAGTAGCGCCTTCAGCTGCGGGTCGCCCTCAAACACACCGCACCCCCAGTTTCCTGATCAATATAGAGGAGTGAGTGTGGCACGGTGTGGATCGTGTTTTCTCCCCTTGCTTACCGGAGGCAAATGGCATGCCGCCGGCGAGTCCGTTCGATCCCGTGAGAGCCACATATGCCTTGTTGAGCTCACGGAGCATGTACCCCTCGGTGTACTGCAGCTGCTTCCCATGAGGCATCTTCCCATAGTCGACCGCATCGAGCGCCACTACATAAGACTGCAGCCACCCTTGGTTGTCGAGGGGCGTCTGGTCGTCATAGGGGCCGGTGCAGCGGAAAGAACGGGCGTAACCCGTAAACGATGAGAAGCGCTTGGCGCCCACGATGAGGGCCGACTCATTGTCCTTGAGCGGCTCCATGAATGCACGCGACACGAGGAGCTCGGGGGAGATGGCGAAACGGATCTCCTCTTGAACACATCCTACAGATACACATACATAGGGGCACACGCACGATACAGATGGTCCATGCCATGGGTGCTTGGTGCGTTCTCACCTCGCCCGAGCGTGCCGCCGCCGAGGACACGATTCGCGAAGTCGGCCTGCAGGTAGGGCGAGTCCTCAATCCGCGCAGCGGCGCTCTTTACGTCCACCCCCAGCAGCGGCATGTGATTCTTGGCCCATTCAGCGCTCTTGGGCAGCTGCTGTGGAGGCACGCTGAGCCGCTGGAACACCACAGTGCGGTCCGCGTCCGCCGTCTTGTTGTTCACCGATGCGGCCATTCTGAGAAGAGAGATACATGATATAGGGAGATCTCCTGTCGGTTCCAACTCCAGTGGGAGTAGAGTACCTGTTGAAGTAGACCATGAAGCAGCAGAGCTTCCACACGCTATCGGGTAGGGTGGATGAGACGAGGCCCGTGAAGTTGATGGATGAGGAGGTCTCTTTGCCGCCCTTGAAGAGGCAGAAGAAGCCGGCCGACAGGATGGCGAAACATTGCCGGGCCGTGACTGCGATGGTGCCGGTGGTCACATCGTCGGGCCAGCAGCGATGGACAGCAAGAGCCTCTCTTGCCATAACGGGCAAGGCCTTCTCGAGAAAAATGCCCGTGCACCGAGGTGGGATGAGGCGGAAGACTGACGGCAGGTCATTGAAGGGCTTGTTGTGGCCAACAAAGGCGCCCTTGCATCGCGAGATCTTGGAGAGCAATTCTCGCAGCTGGCCGCTGTGATGAATGGCCTCTTTGCCGCTCGCAATGAGCCGCAGCGCGTTGGATGCGCACCGCCACTCATCCGAATGCTGAGAAAGCAGAGAGAACATCCTGTGGGAAAGCCGTCTGCGTGCCGATTGCCGTCAGAGGAAGGGGATGCCGACTGCATCCAGGAACACCCGAATTCCTTCCAGATCTGCCGCATTGTAGGAATACACCTTTGCGAGACTAGCGTTCGCCCGCGCGTTGCGCGAGCAGTTCTGCCCTAACGTAAACTCATAAGTTTGGATTTTTCTCTCTGACCACAAGTGAGCCAGACATATATCAAGGTGTCAGATACAGAGAGCTTCACAAGATGCACATCTACACTGCCACAACAAATATATCCAAAGTCACTCGAACGCACCCGGATACCGTCTTGCTGCCTCCCGCGTAGATTCGTCTACACCCTCACTTTTTATCTCCTCGTATCTGTCCAGGTGAAGCTGACGCCTTCGAACCGCCTGCTTCTCCTCGGAATGCTCCGCATACAGCTGTCGACGTTTCTCGGCCCTGCTGGCACAGACACGCGCATAGTCAAACCACACGCACACCCACGTCTGTTCCAGCGATTCCCTCTCTCGTGTGCACCTGCTCATTTGGCCGTCCCCCCCCATAGAATCCGGCACTCTCCACTCGTGATCGCACTGGAAGGCCTCACATAGTGCCACTGACCGCGAGAACGTCCTCTGATGCTTCGAGCGGCCAGCGTCCACTACTCGGTCGATGTAGAGCCACAGCATTGTGCGGAGCTGCTCCTCGGTCATTGCCGATGCTGTCGTACTACCAAGAAAGGCGATGGCCGTGTCATAGGGGCTGAGTCCGTTCGCGACGGGCTGGCCGTCGATGTACGGCCGCGCCCTCTTCGCAGTGTTGCTGGAGCGGATGAGAGGCACCCTCATCCCATGCTCAGGCACGGGCTGCCGCTTGAGGACGTCGGGCTCTTCCTCGTTCGCCCTCCTCTGCTGGTGGACCATCCTCCCCAGCTTCCACGGATTTCCGGTTGGGGACCTGGCAGTGGGAAAGAAGGCCTCTTCCGCTCGAATAGCTCGAAGGCCTCTTTCGTCCATGTACGTGTCGGGCTGGATGCTCTGGTGCCTCATGGTCCCGACGCGCACTCGTCGCAGGTAACCTCCTACAAGGACATCCCTGTATCTCTCCATAATCTCGCTGCCGGTCTTGAGCTCGGCCTCCCCACCGATCCACACCGTACGTGAGCCCACCATCCAGCCACTGTTGTCGACAGCGGGCCACCCTCTGTCGCGGGTGAGCGCCCTCTTGCTCGTCATGGTTTTTGTTCTCACACTTGCTTGGGACAGTAGGGTTCGGGTCAAGGGTTTATTGAGCTCGCAGCTCGCATATGGTTCCACCTTGGGATCCGAACCCGCGACTTCCTTTGCTCCCGCTGCACGCCTTCCCAACTGAGCTGTGGTGTGGGTGAGCCGATTCCCCCCCGAGCGCATTTTCATTTCTCCCCGCGCAGCCACGCCGCGTCAGGCCCTGCGGACGGAGCACGTTGAATGCGGCGGGCACCCGCGTCGTTTAACACGACCCTCCAGAGCGGGGGGGCAAGTGGAGTATAGAGAGATTTGGCTAAGCTCGCAGATGGATCGCCGCGATGGATGTTGAGAAGGACAGGTGTGGTGGGGTGGAAGAGCTAATGCAGCACGTGAACTTCTGGGGCCTGGAGCGCCTCAGGTCCGATGAATCTGCCAGCCCCATTTCGCCACTTCTCGCGGTGGTTTCTGCTGTGTTTGTATGTAGGGCTGAGTTCGGTATGCTGGACGACGACCAAGATGAGAGGTTGACCGGTGTGCAGGCCTCAGTCTTGCTGCGGGTCAATGGCAACCTCTCAGACCAAGACGTCACACACATCCTTGCAGGCAAAACAGGAATGGGTACCATTCGATGCAGTCCAAGTGTGTTTTCGGTGTGTGTTACCTTTGCAGAAGCCCCAAAGAGGGTGGACTTCCCGTCGTTCTGCTCCCTGCTGCTACAGGCTCTCATGGCCGATGCCAATCGGTCGCTGCCTTCGCCAGAGGAGCTTCAGGGGGCGTTGGAGTGGCTGGGGCGGGAGAGTGGACGTGGTTTCCTGGATGTGGATGGACTGATGGGGGTGATCGATCAGCCTGAGGAGGGAGGGAGCAGCGTCGGGCAGGGGGGGAGGGCAATGCTCAAGGAGGAGATGCAGTGCGATGAGGACGGCAGGATTGACTGCCGGAGGCTGGCATACAGGTGAACCAACAAACGTACTGCAAATAATTGCGTGAGTGTGCGCCTTCCTTGGGACACACTGGACACACTGCAGGTTGCTCAATGAGTATCCACCAGAGGACGCCGGCTGCCAAGACAGAGAGACTCAGATGAGTGGCGAGAAGATGGAGGCCACTATCCATGCACTAAGAGGTCCGCAGACCGTAGAAGAAAGCACAAACTTCAATCATGGCTATGTTGTGTTCCCTTTTTCTTTACAGCTGTGTGCTCGGCTGAGTTTCGCAGCCCTAAGAGGGCCAACCTTTCGGCCAAGAGCAGCAGCCCCAACGCATCGATGCCGCCCACGTATCCGGCCGCTGCTGAAGAGGAGATGGACTCGCCGACCCACCATCCACCGCCACAGCCACAGAATGATGTGCCAGTGCAAGCTGCTGAAGAAGAGTCCAATTCTCCCTTTGCCGATATGGACAAGTGGGCAATGAGAAAACAATCGAGCAGCTTGCTTGACAATTGCGTCTTTGCGTGTGTAGCGGTGTAGATGTGTCGTTCCCAGAGGGGGCTGAGAGCACTCCTGTCTCCAGGTGGATGATTCCTGAGGTGTATGCGTCACAAATGGGCCTCAGCGTGAGCGCGAAGTTGGCAGCTGACACATCACCATGATACAAGTCTCCTTGTCGCCGCACAGCATGGCCGTCACCGCACCTCTCAGCTGAGGAAGGAGAGCGCGGCGGCATCATCACTTGAGGAAATCAACCAGGACGACGAGGCGGTGTATCAGCTGCTGAGGCCCCTCTTGCTGATGGATCTGCCTCACCCCTGGACCGCGGTGATGGACCCAACAAATCGGGTGTACTTCTACCACCCCGGGGCTGTGCACTCACAGGTGAGGCGTGACACAGGAAGAGAGAGAGATGCATCTATCTGCGTCTTCCCTTGCTTGCAGTGGCAGCATCCTCTGGAGCACTTCTTCATGGCTTTGATCACACTCCTCCGGTCGCTGATGCCCGGAGAGCTGCATGAGCCCAACAGGATGAAGGCCATCATCACTGTAAGCTGACAGACGCAGGCACACACACACACACACCTCTCTCTCTCTCTCTCTCTCTCTCTGCGCGCGCGCGCGTGTGTGTGTGTAGGAGAAGGTCTCGGCCCTCCTCTCCCCCACCAACATTCTCAGGTCTTATGGTCTATGGGAGGGCCCTTTCTCTGAGGACACAGCAGGCGCATCAGCGGCTCACCCTCGATGCTGGTACGTCGAGGAAATGGACGAAGCCACGAGTGTCTCCCTCCCGGCCCCTTTTGGGAGCCAGCAGCGGAACACTCATGGCATGCCTTCACGTCAGAGAGGGCCGCACGCGAGGTGGGACAATCCAGCGAGATCGGTGGCCAACGAGATATACGTCAAGATCAGGTGTGTGAGGGGAAAGGCAACGAGCACGGGCTGCGAATGACGAGAATCCTTCCACTGGTCAGGATGCTGCGCGAGCTCTGGGGTGCTTTAGTGCCTGAGGAGCCCTTCATCTACACCGATGACGAGCTGAGACACCAATGCAAGGCCGTCAGCACGGTGACAGCACGCTTGCTCCTTTTGTCTCATGCATGTGTGCTCTTGTCGTGTTGATATATGTGTGCAGTGTGTGTTAAGGTCTCGACAGGATGCTGGAGACACGAGTGACGAGACGCCGCCTCGTTTGGTGCCGCCGTTTGGTGTGTGTGCGTCGCCGCAGAGCCCCGCACCAAGCAAGAGGACATTTGAATGCTTGTGATGCACAGAAATCGACCGCATATATGTCTCAAGAGTTGGCTTATGACGCTTTGGGCGTGTGCGTGGACAAGAGATGCGCAGATTTCCTTTTGCTTCAATCAATAGTTCCATTCACTGTGCATCATGCCTCCCTCCTCTCTCGCAGTCGTTAGTGTCACAATCGTGCTCAGAGAGAGAGTCCCGCAGCGATTTGCACGACAGTCAGCGCAAATGCTGCCGAGTAGAAGGCACCGGTGTGGCGCATGACGTTGAGACTCTTCGCGGCACCTCTGCCAGCGGTCGCGATGCATTTCCACCTGAGCAGTAAAAGGAAGACACCGCAGCCAAGTGGAGTGACAGACGATGCGGAGGTCCGGAAGTGGTAGCCGCCAATCACCAAAAAGGGACACAAGCATCGTGCCATTGAATGAGATGATGATGCCATTAGTTGTCGTCTCTTACGTGCGTTGTCATTGCACTTGTGGTCTGTGCATGTGCTCCAGCAGACACACGAGCTGCCACACGACTTGGGAGCCAAGTCCTCACACAGCAAAATCTTGCCCGGGCCTTGAAAAGCTTCCATCCTAAAGACACACAGGCAGAGTAGACGAGAGAAAGAGAGAGACACGGATGCAGCCAAGCCATGTGTTGATGTCTTACGCTGTGCATAGGACTCTCTCTTGCTGTGGAGGACAACCCTTCTTGGTCGTCTGCTGTGCGTCCACAGCAAACCGTAGGCCGCTCTTGAGGGCGCCAGGGTCGCAGAAAGCTGCACAAAAACACACACACACACGCACAGACACTCACAATCCAAAGAGGAGCATGGGGTTGTGAGTGATCGGGACCTCTGCAGTTGCTGAAACACGACTGTCCCACGGCGAGGCGCTGCGCGTACTCACACAAGGGGATTTCACCTCTGCCTGTTATGTCAGCTTGCGACAGGATGAGGTGATTCGCTGTGGCAACAGTCACGCCACATGCCGAGACGAGCAACAACAGCAGCACTCTCATTGTCTTCCTTCTCAGCGGCAGTCAGAGAGACTCTCCAGTGGCAGTCAGAGCAACGTGTGTGTGTACCGCTCGTAAGAGAGTGCGTATAATTGGACGTTAAATACACATGACATACATACAAACATGTCTGAATGTCTCATCATTCATTCGCTCATTCGCCCATTTGCCCATCCACTCATTCACTCACTCACTCACTCACTCCCTCCTCCCCTGTGGATGATCTGATTGTCCCGTCCGCCCGCAGCCCCAGCAACGACATTGCTTCCACGTCCATGTCTGTCACTCCACCCTGTGCACAGGCCATGCACGAATCGGGTGGGTCATCCACACACGACTGACACAGCAGGTGACCGCACGGGTAGTTGGCAGCACACGCGGGAGGCAACACTGCCGACGATGCACCGGCACTCAGCGCCTGCAGCGCAGCAGAGAAACAGATGAGGAAAAAACATACATATGAGGGAAAAAGGTGGCATGCCTTTCTCTTCTCTGTCTTACCCTTGCAGCGCAGAACGTGCACGACCACTGCTTCAGCGACGCGGTCAGCGTGTCATTGTCGCTCCTGAGCCGCTTGGCCTCCTGGGTCTTTCCCTCGAGTGCTGCCTTCAGTTCTCTGATGCGCTGGTTGAGCTGCTGCGGATCCTCTTCAGCCACCCGGGCGTCTCTTGGAGGCCTGTCCCCACCGTCGCCTGCACCCGAGCTGCCACCACCACCTTGGGCACCCGCTGGGCGATTAGATGGTGGCGGCTGCTGCTGCTGACCGCTGCCCTGCTGTTGCTGCTGCCGGCGGTGGTTGTTGCCATCGGGGTGGTCTCGCTGCTGCCCGCCGCCGGCCCTTTAATGTAAGGCAGCAGGCATTCAATCGATCCCATCCCAGCGCTTGCCTCCGTGTATGCATACCCTTACGTAGCTGTGCGGACGGCGCCGGCCTCCACGCCATTGCGGGCCGCGTCGTCCTCGTCGTGTCCGAAAACGTCAGCAAGGTCGTCATTCGGGCTGGAGGCCTGCAGAAAGCAATGCAGGATGGACACACATTACAAAGCGTCTCTCCCTCTACCTTCCTCTCTCGCCCACCTTGTCTTTCGCGGCAGCTGTCCCGTTTGCCTTGGCAGGGAGGCGTCTGTCGTCGTCTTCATCTGAATCGACAACGCGGCGTCGATTTCGGCGGTTGATGCGAGAGCCATCCTCATCGTCACCGCCATCATTGTTGCCGGCTCTCACGTCCCCCCGCTGCCGCTTGTCGCCCGCATGCGCATCCTCCTCCTTTGCCTTGGCCTTCTTCTTGTGCTGTTTCTTGTGCCTCTTGCCCGTCTCCCTGTCCCTGTTGTCGTCGTCCCCCTTGTCAGCAGCCTTGTCGCGGTGCTTCCTCTTCTTGTGCCCCTTGCCCTTGGCATCCTCACCCGCTGATGCGGGCACAGCCGCCTCGGAAGGCTCCTGGAAGTCGCGCATGGAGGGCGAGTTGGTGTGGGGCGGCCCTGACTCGCCGGGAGATGATTCAGGCACGGCAGGAGTGGGGCCGGACCGGCTCGGCTTGGCGTCGCTCGCACTCCGCTGAGGCTCCCCTGGTCGACTGACGGCCGCTTCAGCTTCAGGATGCGCGGACGTCGGCTGCGATGGCTCCGACTCATTGACCAGCTTTAGCTTCGACTTGGACTTGGTCTTGGACTTCTTCAGAAGACTCACACCACCGGCGAAGCCCTTGGCGGGCGGCTGCTCCACGCCCTTGCTGGACGCAGGATGAGCACTCTCGGCCGCAGTGGGGCTAGCACCCGACAGCTCGGGGAGTGTGGCGGTTGAGTCGCCCCTTGCCGCCTCCACTGGCCGCCGAATGCGCTCCTCGCGCAGCGCCTGGCCGCGTCGTACCCAAGCAGTGGCCTCTTCCAGCTGATCGATGTCTCGGTATGAGACGCGGTCGAAGGGGAAGCTGTCCTGGTTGAGTGGTCCTGCGGGCAGCGTGGAGGGGTCGTTATTCTGCGCCCGACGCAGAAAGTCCCTCACGTACGCCGTCCCCTCGCCCGCGTCAGTCCTCTGCAGCTGGTCGGTCAGCCGAGTCACCAGATCACGGATGTCCGTGACGCCACGAGACGTATCCCGCGTGAGCAGGCGATCGATGGGATTCGCGAAGGATGCACTGAGGACGGTATTGCTGTTGCCCGGCAGAAGACTGAGGGCTCGGCCATCGTACCGTTCTGGCTCTGGTGGGAGACCAGCCGGGCTGATGGGCCGCTGCTTGGGCTGCTGGTCCACCTTAGGAGAGAGGTCCGGCTTGTGTTCGTCGGTGAGGGGAGCGTGCCAAGACTCGATGAGGATGGTGTGCTGAGGGAGGCCGGGTGGTGGCGCTAGATGGTCGAGCTTGGCGAAGATCCTGCGGCTCTCGTGGTCCTTGCAGCACAGCGTTGCGAAGCTCTTGTGCTGCTCGTGCCACCAGTGGACGATCTCGGGCACTCTGCAGCCACTCGTCTCCTCTGGATGGTCTCGCATGTGCTGCGCGCACGTGTCGATGATGTACCGCTCCAGTGCGATAGTGTTCCTGATACACACACCACACACACACACATACACAACACACATGCTAGGGATGTTTATATCGGCGCGTTGTGCCACGTGTGTGTGATACCATTCTTTCGGGAAGCCTTTGACGACAACACACAGCCGAGTTTTGATGTCCTGCGGCACGTCCATCATGTTGGCGCTCGCCGGCCACTCGCACGGCTCCTCAATCACATCTGCAGTCCCTGATCACATATCAGTCACATGCGACCACAGAAGTCATTCAGACCAGAGCAAATCGTGCATCCCTGAATCCAATCCGTGTCCTCACCTTCCTCTTTCATCGATTTCGCGGGCGATTCAGCCTTGGGAGTCCCCACTGCCTCCTTAGCTCTCTCCGCCCCCGCGTGACCCTCCCTAACGGGCACCGACATGACGGGAGGGGCACTCTGCACAGAGGCCGTGGTAGAGGCGACCACAGCAGCGGTATGAGGAGCTGTAGCAGCAGCATCTGCCACCGTTGACGGCCGTTGGTCCCACGGCGACTGGCGAGGTGGCCTTGGGAAGGGGGCAAAGCGGGTAGGTGGGCGGGGGTTGGGGAGCCCGGGCAGCTGCGGCACCTGGGGCGACGGGATGGGCTCCACACGGGCAGGGGCAGGAGAGCTCACACCATTCACAAGGCTGCCACAAGACGAACCGAATAAAGTATCGATGAAAGCAGCACCCCTCACCCTGCTCGTCTCTCTTGGTGCGGTGTCACCTGTTATCTGCAGGCGTCATTGGGGTCTTTGGGGTCTCAGCGCGATGGGGCGGGTTGCTGGGCGGATTGCTGGGTGGCCCTTGGTCGCGTGGGTTGCTGCTGGGCGGCCCCGAGTGCTGTCCCTGTTCCCACCACGGCCTGTCGCCAGTGGGCTTGTTCCGGAATCTCTCGAGGCTGATCACGGGGTTGTCTTCCATGGTGGCGTCAGCCGCATCCACGTACTCCTGGGCGCGCCTTGGCTTGTTACCGAATGCGGTGATCATGTTCTCTCTGTCAACGGGGGTGCGGCACCCGATGGTGGCCATGGGCTTACTGCCGATGAAGATGTCCTGCAGCTCGGGGAAGGGCACATTCCTCGTGGCGGGATTCTCACACCACACGCGACGAAGGAAGCCACGCACCTTGTCTTTCTCCCTGATCCACATGAGCACACGCACAGGGGGATGCACACGATCATGCTGAAGTCAGTCATAGCTACAACTGACCATCTCATGGGTTTGCCCAGCAGTGCGAGGCAGAGCATCTCTCGCTGGTCGAGCTTGAGATCTCTGAACTGCACTGGATGCCCATGGCTGTCGGTCGGCCACCTCACGCCAGACGGAGGTGAGAGACCACGCCCTGCACCACCCCCCGCCCCACACACACACCATCATTATGACACCCAGAAGGAGCGTCATCCATCGCCCCCGCACCCACCCCTCGCCCTCCCTGCCTGTCTCTGCCTGGCTGTCGTCCTACTCGCGGCAGTGGGCGGGTGTCTGGCGCCGTGAAGGCCATCCGCATGCTCACGGTTGTCACGCCTGACTCCCGGGAAGGTAGCATTGGGTCCACTCAGAGGGGGACGCCTCTGCGGCTGATTGCCGTACATAGCTGCCCTTGACGCCCCAAAGTCAGCTCATTCGAGCGCCGAATGACAGCATCAGCAGCCAGCCCGACGATCGTGCCTCCACCTCAAGGACGATGCTTCAGTCGTCTCGCCCTCCTCCTCGTGTGGTGCAGGTCTGTGACGCGAGAGATGGTGAAAGGGGGATCTGCCGAGAGAGCCAGGTGCCGCAGAATAGATGTCCTCGTGGGTGCTGAAGTGCTCCGAGCACACAGAAGCCGCGCCTCAGACAAAACCATTAGTCAAACAGCTCGCAAATGGGGCTAAGCTCGCAGTTGTAGAAACGGGGAGCCGCGCGTTCCCTTCTTTTTAAGAGAGTAAGTAGTTTTAGACAAAGATGCTGAAGGCAAGTGTCAGTCAGGAGATAGGTTCATCGTCTTGTCACGCATGCATGCATGCATGCAGTGAGTGACCATCAGACAGCGTGGCGGTGCCACCGACATCGATCATCGCATCACATCACACCAGCCCAGCAACATACATGCATTCACGCAGCCGTACCGTACGCACACACACGCATCCATCCATCCATCCATCCATCCAATCCTTCAAGGGCTAAATTAGGCAGACTCTCATTCCTCTGTCTGGTCGACGCACTCACTCACTCACACCACACAGGCAGGCACAAAATCAGCCCGGGCAGGTCCTCCTGAATTGAGCACAAGAGAGGGGAGAAAAGAGAGCCGCCGGGTGCGCCGCTTCTCATCACACGACACGCACACACGCACGCATCCAAAAATCCATCATCCCACATCATCACGTCACCACAGCATGAGGCAGTCGCATCGCATGCAGCACCACATCGCCATCGACCATGCACACACGCACACGCAGGCAAGCAAGTGGGAGCAGAGCGGGAATGATGGCATGCATCAGTACGAGATGTACGCACCTTGTCAGTCATGATGTGTTTGTTGTGTGGGGATGTATGGGTCGCTCGCTCGTTATGCAAATAAGTAAGAAGGTCCGTACGTACATACACACATACACGGACACACACACACACACACGCCTGTTTACGCATGCCATGCCATGCAGCCACCCAGTGAGTGACCTGTCCGTCTTGTCTGCCCTCACCTGCCAGTAGTCTACACACAGCCACTGTCCCCTCTCCCCCCGCAGCCACCCGGCCAGCCAGACATTCATTTAAAAGGAGAGGTGAGCCAGGAGAGTGAGACATCTATCAGCCAGGTACTAAAAGCAAAACACCGGAATACCGGCCTCTGTCTGTCTGTCTGTCTTGCTGGTCGGCGTCCATCGGTTAGAAAGATCACGCAAACAAACGTGTCAAGTCGTAACAAAAAAGTCACAGCCCCGGTCAGCGAAACAGCTAGCTAATTGTGGTGTGGTGCTGTGGGTGCCTTCAGGTTTCCATGTTGCTGCCTTGTCTCTCTGTCGTCAAGTGACCGTCAGTAGACACGTCATTTGCAGGCGATTCAAAATCCAGTAGTACACAATGCGGCAGGCGGCTGTTCTCATCCAGACGGTGCCTTGTGTGTCTGATTTGACATCAGCCCCCAACGTCCACGTTCAGCTTTTGGCGTATAGCAGAGTGTGGCCGTTGGAGGGCAGTATCAAATCAGACACACTCAACACTCAGCCAGATTGAATGTTCTGTTCGTCGTGTTTCAGACAGACAGATACGGCACTGATTCACTCACTCACTCATGCTTAAAAGGAAAGCAAGCGGACACCACCCAGCGACTTGACAGCAACAGCGAGACAGGAGGCTCCATCCGTGACGACGACACCAAGCCACGCCACGCCACGCCATGGCTCATCAGGACCGCACCCACTGCATGATAATCACTCCATGCCACGCCACTCACGCCCGCACTCAATGCACATCTGCACGGAGAGATGCACACAAGCACAAGCATGACGCACATGGGGACGTCCTCGGCCGGCAGCGCAATGAGATGTATTCGTGGATCGTCTGTTGGCAGGGAGGCAGGCATGGCACGCCACTCTTTCACCACCCATCCACTCACCACAGGTATGCAGATGCATCACGGCATCACAGCACTGGATGGACCATCAATACGGAGCGTATCGCACACCTGCATGTTGCATGCCACCTACACAGACCACACCACGCACACGGGGATGGAGGAGGGGACGAGGGAGGGAAGGAGGGACACACATCAATTCCATCACACACACAAGACAGAGACGTCAATTCATCATGTGTGTGTATGTGATGTGTGCAATGCTGGGGCATGCGTGTGACGAATATGAGTGAATGAGTGGGTGGGTGTATGGCATGAGGTGAGTGACTGGGCGGGCTGGGTGAGACTAGCTAGCTGGCCTATCACTGGGTTCAAAACAAAAAGACACTGTACGCTCTCCTCTCTCCCAGCTCTCGCATCGCTTCCCTCCTCTCTCTGCCATCCATTGACTCAAACAACACCAAACAGCTTCGCAACCGGCCAGTCAGACAGACAGACAGACAGTCAAGACCAGTCAGTCAGTGAGTGCGTGAGAAAAAGACCTTACAGACGCTCTCCTCTCCTCCCTGCCCTCGCCTCCCCTCTCCCCGTCTCTCTCGCTTGTTGACAACCGGAAAAAATAGACACACTGACTGATCACTCGCTTGCTTGCTTGTCGATCCGATCCATCCGTTGCGCCATCCGTCCATGCGTCCATGCGTCACTCAGTTCAGCGCGCATGTGTACGTATGTATGTACGTATGTTGTACTGATATGTATGTATGTGTACGCATACAGCCGACCGTGGGAGTTATGGTATGGATGGCACGCACGCACAGGCGTAGGCAGGGAGGTAGGTGAGCTGAGTGAGTGAGTGCTACTCTGCGGCAGGGATGTAGAGAGGCTACACACGGCAGGCACGCAGGCAGACAGGAGGCAGGCAGGCAGATGCAGACGCAAACAGACAGGCCATCCATCCATCCATCCATCCAGCCAGCCAGCCAGCCAGCCAAGTAGACATGACACGAGCCACCGCAAGCGAACCAAGAGGTGTGAAGGAATGGATGTAGCACGAGAGCACGAGAGCATCATACACAGACAGAGAGCCAGACATCCCGGGTGTGAGAGCAAGACCAAGACCGCACACGCCACCGAATGCAGAAGAGACACCACGCCATTCACCACCCACACCCATCCGTCCACATATGTGCGCGTCAGTCATCGAGGGCAGCACATCACTCCACAGCACCGCCAGCCACGTGTGTAGTGTACGTGTGTATTGTATGTGTACATACCACCCACGATCCAACGAACGAACGAAGAGAGCACCATTCCATCCATCTATCCATCACTCCATCCATATCCACGACGCGAGATATATGCATGAGCATGCGCTGTACAAAACACTCACTCCATCCACCACACCACGCTTCGCACACGACACCACCACGCCATGCACGCACGCAACGCATTGCATCGCACCGCATCCACATAAGTCCTGTCACATCCAGAGTGTGATGATCAGTGTGTGACGGACATCCATCCACCCTCTGACACAGCACTCCACACCATACATACGCAGCTATGCATATCACGTTAGTCCAGATCGACCGACCGATCGATCGGTGTGTCGTAGTTCATTCGCTCGCTCTCTTCCTCCGCTCTTGCACTCGGTGATGGGCGGGCGGGCAGGCAGGCAGGCAGTCATGCCCTTGACTACAAAACTGCTGCTCCGCGATGAAAGCAGAGCAGCAGCTCCGATACACACACACATACGTACAGCCCCGTGTAAGTACGAATGAACGCTAGCCAAATAGGTGTATGGTACGCACGCAGACAGGCGGACAGCAGGCACACGTGAGGGAGTGAGTGAGTGATGAGTGTGTATGAATGGGCCGCAGAGCCACATACAGACAGAGAGAGAGAGAGTTCCATGGACAGAGAGGGAGAGCACGAGAGAGGGGGAGACCGACACCAGACAAGCAGAGAGAGATGTACCCAATCCATCCATCCATCGATGAATCCACCGAAGGCCAGTCCGCGTGTAGCCACCACCATGCCACGTATCCATCCATCCATGCACTCAGCCGCTTTCTACCCACCACGTAATGACGCTTCCATTATGTAGAGGGAGGAGGTACGAAGGTCAAAACTGTGGCTGGCTGGCATCATGAGTGATGTCGTGTGTACGTACATACTCATATACATACATACATGCTCGCATACACAACACAGCGATGGATCGATGGTTGTTTGTGGGTGCAGTGAGTGAGTGAGTGAGTCACGTGACTTGACTTGACTGACTGACTGACTGGCGAACAGAACCATCCATCCACTCATGCATGCCATGCAGCAGGGCACGAGACGAAGGCGAGTGACACGGAGACGAGAGCAGCTACGCGAGACGGCAGGCTGTACACAAGTGGGTGGGTGGACGAATGGACAGGCAAGAACGGGTGTATGTGTGTACGCATGGAATCACAGTGAGTGAGTGAGTGAGTGTAGCCACACTACGCATGGAGCAAGCGTGTCTGTCTTGCGCGTCTAAGCAGAGGACCGGCCGCGTCGTTCGTCGCCGAGCCAGCCGAGCCGACAGAAGCACCTCCGTTCTCGCCTGCCCGTCAGCCCGCCCCATTGAAAACGGAAAAAGTGAGCAGCAAGCGCCCGTACGGTCTGTCTGTGTGCCTCCCTGTCTGTCTGTCTGTCTGTCTGTCTGTCAGGTTAGAAGATCATACGCGTGGCGAATATCGATCGATCCACCACTTCACTTGACGTGTAAGCCATCCATCACCCAGCCAGTCCGCCCGCACCCATTCACTCATCTGATGAGATGTCATCCACTGCACTGCACGATAGCACTGCATCGATCGCATCATCGCATTCTCGCATTATTCAGCTCCGTTCAGCTGGCTTGGGGATACCAACAGACGAAGGAATGAACACCACCACCACCACCACGCCGCACGAACAACAAAATCTGTCTCGTGTGTCGTATTGAGTTGCCTTCCCATCCATCCATCCACAGCGAGCAAGCACATCCATCCATCCACTGGCTGACGCAAACAAAACGATACACGCCGTGTCATTCATGACCCACCCCATCCGGCCCTCCCTCCCCTGGCTGGCTGTCCCTTTACATAGGTACATACACAGTGACGTCACTCACAATCACAGCTATCCACTTATCCATCCATCCATCCGTGCACACTACATATGTGAGCAGGGGAAAATCTCGCCAATCGCTCGCCAACGGTCGCTCGCTTGCTCGCACAACACGTCACGTACAACCAAACATACACCCACCCACCCACACGCTATGCAAACAGCCAGACAGGCAAAGGAGTGAGTGGCGGTCTTCGGTCAGTCCATCCATGTACCCACCAGACGCACGGACGCACGGCAGCAAGTGAGCGATGGATTGTGTTTGTGTTTGGTGCGATTGGCGGCATGTTTTCTTCCTTCCTTCGACAGACATCTCACACAGCGTCTGCATCCATCTACCGACCTGCACAAGAGCGGAGCGAAGTTAGTCAGTGAGGTAAAGTACGAGGCGGGACAAGACGAGGGAGAGGGCGCACCAACCAATAGATGGGTCATAGAAACGAGAAAAGGGCAAGTGAGTGAGTGAGGAGGTAGAAGGTAAGGCAAGCCGCAGCCTCTCTCTCTCTCGTCAGTAGCGTAGGTATCGATCTATCCAATCCACCAATGGGAGGGGAGCATCCATCCATCCATCCATTCATCCAGGCATACGTGTTGGTTATCGTACAGACACTATCCTACAAACAGACGGTCCGTCCTCCTTCCCATCCACGGTCGGCCGACCGATGAGGCAGCCAGCCAGCCAATTTAAAACATCACCGTAACCCAAATACTGTCTTGTCTGTCGTAGTCGATGGATGCTCCATCCAGCCCTCCTTCCTCCCTCCGAGCAATGCACTCCATCCATGCATCCATCCATCCATGCCATTGCACCCGTCGCACCACATTAGCAGTCCAGTTGGCCATAGCAAACAACCCACTGATTGCATCCACCATCCATCCATCCACCACGAGCATACAATCCACCAACAAACACCCGCCCCGCACCGCCCCATCCCACCCCCACATACCTACGTAACGTAACTTACGGCCTTTCTTCGTTCGTTCCTTCCTAGCCTGCCTGTCTATCTATGTATGTGTGTTGCATGGTGTACGATGTGGTCACTTCACTGAGGTCTGATCTGTGTGCCCCCATAGGGATACGCATAGGCATTGGGATTGTACGCACCTGGTGCCGGGTAGCCGCCCGGCGCGCCGCCAGCCGCCGCAGGCATGCCCGCCATCTGCTGCGCCATCATGTGCTGTGCCGGCATGCCCATCATGGGGCCCGGGTGGCCCATGGCGGCCTGGGGAGGGCCGCCCATGGCCGCGGGGGCGGGCGTCATGGTCTGGGCCAGGGGCGCCACCGTGGGCATCGTGCCCGCCGCATGCTGCTCCTCGCCCTTCTTGATCTGCACCTTCAAACGCTTCCCACCTGACACACATGGCGCACACACAGATAGGGAGTCGGCAATGGTCATTTGTGTGTTCGTGTAACGGTTGTTGGCTGGTTGGATTGTACCTCCGACTTGGAAGCCGTTCATGGCCTGCACGGCGTTGACGGCGCACTGGACCTGGTCGAAACTCACGAAGCCGAACCCACGATTGCGACCCGTAGCCTTGTCAGTAGCGATACGAGCACTGACACACGGTACAGACACACATCGATGTGGGAGACTGTGGTGTGTGGTGGTTGTGCGTCTCTCCGTTTCAGGTACCTGATGATGCGGCCATACTGGTTGAAGTGGTGCTGCAGGTCAGTCTCGGTCCACTCATTCGGGACCTGCACTCACAGCCGGTGACACAACGTGTATTGTGTACTGTTTGTGTAAGTGACACAAGGAGAGGAAGCGCCTTTGGCATATGGCCGTACATGGAATATGAAGATATTGGCCCCTGCACACGAATCGCACACGAGCCATGTCCATATGCTGCCCTGACAATCATTTCGCCCATGATGGTGTGTGTTGTGGCGTACCAGGGGGTCCGTGCGATTGGTTTCCAGCCGACGCCATGCCCCCCATCCCAGCCCCCATGCCACCAGCCATCTGCCCCCAACACATGATACGGACACCCACATCGCATCAGATGTGGTTGTGTAGGTGAAGGTGCATCCATCCGAGTGTGTGTGCGTCCTAACCGGAGGCTCAGGTCTGTCCATCTCGGGGGGTCGGTCCCACTGTGTGGTGCCCGTGAGGCTGTTGTAGTAGTAGGGCCGGTTGTCGGTCGTGAAGTACTCCGTCCAGTTGCCCTTCTGAGTGGGGCCGGGAGGAGTGCCGCCACCCATGCCGCCACCCATTTGCTGATCATCACCGCAGGCACACACGGTGGGTAACCATCAGTGTGTGTGTGTGTGTCTGTGTGTGTGTGGCGGTGTGGCCTACCGGCTGGTTGTACTGGTCAGTGGGGCTGCCGCCCATCACCTGACCACCGCCCTGAGCCTTGCGGTTCTCAGCTGACAAACCACCAAACACAGGTCAGATACATGTTATGGCTGGGTCGCTGGCTGCATGTGGGCGGGGAGGGGAGCGTGTGTCGTGTGCTTACCGAATCTGACTTCGATGGGTTTGTTGTGGCCGGGCATGGTGAACTTTTGGTTGAGGTTGTTGATGGCGTAGAAGGCCTGCTCCTTGTACGCAAACTTGACAAACGCACAACCTGTATACACACCACACCACACCACACACGTGCAGTGCAGACATGGGTTGGGTGTGTGTGTCGTGTCCCCTCTCACTCACTCACCTCGCGACTCTTTCCGCTCGTCGCGCATGATGAAGACCTCATCCACCATACCGAAGGGCGCAAACACGTTACGAATGTCATCCTGATCAATCAGAACCGACGTCACACGCACATGAGGGTGTGTTTGTGTGTGTGCTGCCTGCCCTGCCCTGCCGTGTGTACCTCCGAGCATGTCTTGGGGAGGCTTCCCACGAACAGTTTGGCCTGGTCGACGCCCGGCTGACAACTGCCGTCGGTCGGTAAACCTACACACACATACACACAGAGACCAACCGCCACGAGTGAGTTGGCCCCCCCCCTCCCCCCACACATGCAGTCAGGTGTCTGTCAGGTTTTCGTGCCCCTGTCTGCCGCCAAGTGTATGTGTGTGTGCTGTCTGCCCTGCCCGGGTCTGTGTGTCTTGTCTTGTCTGGTTGCGTGTGATGTGTAGTGTGTGGTTGAGTGTAGTGTCTGTGTAGTTCAGGTTGCTTACCCATACCCAATCGTTCGTTCTCCCCCGTAGCGTACTTGACAGTCAACGGACCCATCGACTGTCATGACACCAACACACACACACGCACGAGTGCCAGTGATATACACTGTCGCGTGTTGTGCATTACGCACCTGGTCGAGCACTTTGGTGTTGTTGAGGGCCCGGATAGCCGCGTCGGCCTTGGTGAGTGACGTCATGCGGATAAACGCACACCCTGCAATGCCACACAACACACCAAACACGACACGACACACAACACAGATGCACTCCCCGTGTCTCTCACTCGGTCACTGGCACGTCTATGAGCTGATCTATCTCATTTCAGCTGATCTCCCTCCCTCCCTCTCTCCCTCACTCCCTCACCCTTGTGCGTGTGTGATTCGCGGTCGCGAATGATGGCGCAGTCGGTGACGGGACCGAACTCCTCGAAGATTGGCTTGAGGGTGTTCTCGTCGTATGTGCGCGGCACACGCCCCACGAACAGCTTGACCTCGACGGGCGGGATCTGCCCAGGCCCGCCGCCCATCTGCTGTGGCTGTTGCTGTTGCTGAGGCTGCATGCCACCAACACCCCCTCCCCCGACACCGACCTGCTGTTGCTGCTGCTGGGGAGCCATCTGCGCCTGTGCCTGCTGCATAGCGGCCATCTGGCTCTGTGCTTGCTGCGTGGCCTGCTGCGAGTAGACGGCCTCAGGCGGCTGGCCGTTGGGCATCATCGAGGCCTGAGGCTGCCCGTAGGGGTGACCAGAAGGATTCAACTCTGACCGCACCACACACACAGGGCCACAGAGGGATGGGGAGGGGCGGGAGACATGCGATTGGGCGTCTGCTTACCACCGTCGAGTGACATAACAACCCAGGTTCACTCACGAACAGCGACGAATCAACACACCAGCTACGCCACCACAACCATCCACATGCACAAAAGGAGAGGAAAGCAAACAAACCCACACTCACAGCTAAGCTCGCAGACCCTCGCTGCTAGCTCAAGCTCGCAAATGAGGCAAGCCCCCACATCTCGCTGCATTCCGCGGCCGCAAAGCTATTCGCTCTCCGCGTGAATCACTAGCTCCTCCGAGATCCGCTTTTTTCTTGTGCGGTGATGGCCGCAGCCGCAGCAGCCGCATCTGCCTCGACTGATGCATCGCCAAGGACAGGGCTGCTGGCGCAAGTATGGTGCAGCCTGTCAGATGAATGCCTGCTGAGCGTCCTCGGCTTCGCAGCATGGCCCGAGCTCTCGGCGATGCGACAAGTCAACCATCACGCCAGGAAGCTGGCAATCAAGATGGGCGAGCCGGAGCCGATGGAGTGGCGGTCATGCCTGTCGCAGACCAACGACGCAGACGGTGAGCGGGGCGGGAGGGAGGTCGGG